GAGTCCAGGAAAGTGACATCCCAAAGTGAAGGCAATGTTGGTCATTTTAGCACAGAGTACAGCTTCCTTAAATATGTTCTTGAACTCTAAGGATGGGTTCATTTGAGATCCACACCAGTCACTTCCAGATCCAGTGACATTTTAGTCGTTGCTCCAAGATCAGCGGTTCTCAAACACACAGGCAGGAAGGGATCTCTTTTTAAGCAGATGGAAAGGTGTCTAGAGGCTAAGGGAATAAGAACAATGGGGGCAATTGCGGGGGTTGGGGGACTGGCAGAAGTGATGAAGGGAAAAGGAAGCCTCTATGGTTCTACAGGCCTCCAACACATCTGTCAGGGAATCCAGCATTTGTTTACAGGAATCAGAAGGTCCAGTCTGGAATCAGCCCAAGGAAGTGGGTCACCATCGACATATATAATGGGCTAAATTTAACAAGGATTTTCAGTAAACAAAAAAGTCAGTCCTGGTTTCCTTACATTATTTTCTAATTAACCAAATGACTTTAAATTGAAACATTAAATGATAATTAGCCCATCTAGATTAAGCTTGTCACTTCCAATCTCAAGTCTTTTACAGCTCTGAAAGACAAAGGACACTTGGAACTAGCACAGGTAATAATCTAATCTTTGGCTCCTATATAGCTTTGATTACTGTGAACACATATACTCAGTTATATCAACAAATTGAGCCTTTAATTTTCTAAATTAATCCTTGAAAAACATCTAATAGCTCAGCCTTCTCTTCCTTTTTCCTTTTTTCAACTTCTGTGGATATTCAGGAAATTCAAATACCTTGTTAAATTCTTAATTATACTCCTGGAAGCGCTTTGTTTTGCCTACCTAAAAGCCCAGATCTCTAAGGCACCAATTATTAAGGATAGTTTTCAACAGGAATTACATCCTAGGCAAAGGTTATACAAAGAAACTTCTTTAAAACTGTCGGGGGCATTAGCCATGGAGATAGATATCTAAGGCAATGGCCTCTGGTCTTTCTGTAATGGTAAAAGAGGATCCATAAAAAGTGAAGACACACATACCCAATCAAATTAAAGTCGATCGAATCTGCTCATTCATTCAACAAATTTTTACTGCACACCTGTCCTGCGAAATGTGTCATGACAGGCATTGTCAAGACCTAGATGAAGTAGAATTAATTCGGAAAACACCAGAGATAGCTTTAAATCATGTCCTATGAGGGACAGTTGAAATAATCAGATCAGTTGAAATAATCAGACCTGAAATAAGATTCTGGAGGAACAGGAAAGCCCTCATGCTTAAATATTTAATCTTTTTTCTTGCAGAAGAGATTAGACTTGTTTTGTATGGGACCACATAGAATTAATCAGTCAGTGGAAATCAATGGAAAGAATCATAGTAGTAGGGCTAAGAACTTGCTACCAGAGCAGTCAAAAAATGGAATGAGCTGTTTGGGAGGGAGAAGCCTCATTAGCATTATTGGTACCTGGAACCCTAGATACTCCAGTAGTCACTGGATACCCTGCCCCTAAATAAATCTGAAATCTGACTGCTTCAAATCAAATTACCTATAAATTCTATCACCCAAAGGCAATCATTGCTAACATACTGGTTTGTCTCCATTTCCTCTGTGCCCTTTTCTTTTTTTTACCATTGTGAAATTGTACCCCATATGCAATTTTCTACTTTGTATTGAAAATTATTTCTCTAGGTTATTTTGCACACTACTAAAATTTACCAAAACTTTTCATAACTGCTAGATATTTACAATTTAATGACAAAAGCAGGTCTGGAGATGCTCTACCTGGTTTGCACCTCACTTACTGACTATACTATCTCAGTAAAGTTGCTTATTCTGCTTCAATTGCCTCATTTGCAAAATAGGAATTTTACCTCACAGATTTGTTGTCTTAAAGAGGCTAGTTCCAGTTAGCACTAAGAACTTTGGCTCAAAACATGCACTTGAGAATTTTTACCAATTATAGGTAAAAGCCTAAAAGTCTGTGAAGAAAAATTGTGAAACATTTTGAAATGGACCAAGTTTGCTGGATGTTTTTCAAGGAAACTAAAGGTTTTGTCCAGCACAATCTTGGGGTAAGAGACCCCGAGCCTTTGTGTTCAAGCTATTCTACAATTCTTAAAGTTGCACATAAATATTTGCCCATAGACAACTTCTAATTCTGTTCAGTGGATAATTTACTTCCCTCTCCTGTTGAAAAAAACAGCTTTACATTTGTAAGCTCATCACATCCTGATTCACCTACTAAGGACATTTTGACTTCTTTGAATGGGCTGAAATAGTTTACTGGTTTCAGTAATTAGCTACGTAAAATTCTTGACAAGTCCTTTGACAGATCCCATCCAGATGTAATTTAAAGTCAAGGGACCCAAAATTAAGAATGTATTCTCTATGCTCAAATGGTTGTTTGGACTTCTCATAGCATCTGTATTTTGCCATCGACATCAGAGCTTTTAGTGGGTAATTTAATTCAACAATTAAAAGACCTACTATTAATATACAAGGCACCTGCTATGTACTGCAGAAAATATGGAAATAGTCTCTGCCTCAATGTAATTGTTTCTGAGAAGAGCATTTAGTGGACACTAAGAACATCAGCTTTGATATCAGACAGATTGGAGGTCTAGACCAATTCTGATCCCTTTCTTACTTCAGTAGGCTTTGATAATTAAATGAAATCAAATTACTGTATCTCTAAACCTGTTTCTTCAGTGGTGCAATGAGGTCTATGAAAGTCTGAGACATGGGATGCCTGGATGGCTCAGCGATTGGGCATCTGCCTTCAGCTCAGATTCTGGTCCCAGGATCTGGGACCAAGTCCTACATCAGGGTCCTTCAATGGAGCCTTCTCCCTCTGCCTGTCTCTCATGAATAAATAAAATCTTAAAAAAAAAAAAAAAAAAGTCTGAGACTTGAAAGATAATCCATTTAAGGCACTCAGCACATCTGGCACATACATATAAATCTTAAGCAATAAGTTAACCTCTAGTAGAGAAGCCAGACGACCTATTCATACCACCCTTCCCAATCACTCCCACCACATACACACAGGGTTAGGACTGGCTAGGGCATGCCCAATGCAGTCATTATGGGAGCATTTACAGTGCCAACCCACTACAGGTTAGCTCATCCAAGATCTCATAACAAAATCACACATTTTACCACCTTATTTGCCTCAATCACTAGGTGAGCCTATCTCACCTTTATCTGAAACTTCCACATTTGCTCAACTAACACAGGTCTTACCCACCCTATCTGCAACATCAGCTCTATTCTATTATCAGAAGCATCAAGCTCTTCTCCCAATATTTACACCTCCTTGCCCTTTTTTATAATCTGGCTCTTCCCTAAACCAATCCCTAGCAGCAACTGAGGTTTATTATCCCATACTCCTGGGCCTCAAGGTTAGGAGCAGAGGTGGATTTACTATAAAGCTCATGGAAGTTAAGCTTCAGTTGTCTCCACCTTCCATGACCTCCTACAATAGCAGTACATTTGTCCTGTTTTTTAAAACTTTGCAAGTTTAGCCACAATCAATTAAGATCATTTTTCTACTGTTCTCGGCTACACTTCCCTTTCAGTGAAAGGACACGATACCAGAAGCTAGCTGATCACTCCCTGCTTGGTTTCTAAGATGCCACTATCTTGATTTTCCTCCAGTCTTCATCTTCACACCTGCGCCTGGAGAAACTCAGAACAGTCCTCTTCCTCCATTATCTCCTAGATTTTAAAAATTGGATCTCTTCTAGTCATAGGAGATCCCAAAATAGGTGATTCATATTCTGGGGCAACCCAAATTGCACACACAGTCCAAATTTGGCTCCCATGGACTCCAGAGTAGTATACCCAAATGCCTACTTGGGAGGCTCCATTTAGTCTAATAAGCACTTTCAAGCTTACTATACCCCAAACTTATTCCCCAAACCATTTTTTCAGTCTTCAGTAAGAACCATAGCCTTCCAGGTGCTCAGGCCAAAACCTTTAGAATCACTTTATTTTGTATCTCCCACATCTAGTCCTTCAACAAATCCTGTCATCTTGCTCTTCAGAAGCCACATTTATAGACTCCTCAATCACTCCCTTTTATCCTAGTCCTAACCAAGATCACTTACCTAAACTATTCCAACACACTTATTTCCCCCTTTCCACCCTTGCCTCACTTAAGTCTATTCTGCTCACAAGACCCGTGAAACTGAGCCTTAATCACTGCCCTCCCCTTCTACATACATTTGAGAAGCTTACAAGCTTCTACCTGTGAGTTACCCCAAAAACTAGGACTACAACCTCCTCACCTCTGGGTATTGCCCAGGGATTTCAGTAGAACAACAACAACAACAAAAAAAAAACCCAAAAAACAAACATATTTCAATAGTTTTACTTCTACTGCCTAGCTCATGGAGCAAATCAATTACTTACTTAAGACAGTTGTCTCGGGTTATATACTGGATCCTAAATATACAAGTCACCTTATGTAACCAAAAAAATATTCTGGGGCAACCCAAATTGCACACGCAGTCCAAATTTGGCTCCCATGGACGCAACAGGATTTGTTGTTTTTGAAATATAAAAACACTGGCATTTTTATCAGAGTTCAGCATGAATACTGATATAACTGAGGGAAATTAAACCATATTATGTTGAAGATGAACCCAGTGAGAAAATAAGTACGTTTTAAAAATGAGATTTCTAAAATCAAATGACCATTCCAGTCACATTAAAACACTCATAATTGGCGTATTTTTATTTTATGTACAATGAGTTGGCATCAAAGTAGGTATCTTGGACATCTGCTGTTAAGGTAGGGATCTTGGATGACCCATTCAAGGAAGTTCATTTAATCCAACTGAAAAAGAAGCAGACAGGAAATAAATTAATTCAAAACGTTTAAATACTCATTTTATTCTCACCAACACTGGTTCTTATTATTAAGAATGAGGTTTAAACTGGAAATTTGACCCACCCAAGCTAGCTACCAATCTCAAAATAGCTTAAATATTTACTGAATGCCCACAACAAGCTGTTACACAAACAACAATTATATATATATTTTAAAGATTTTATTTACTCATGAGAAACAGAAAGGCAGAGACACAGGCAGATGGAGAAACAAGGCCCCACCCAGGAAGCCCAATGTGGGACTCACCCTGGACCCCGAGATCACCCCGAGTCAAAGGCAGAGGCTCAACCGCTGAGCCACCCAGGTGTCCCGACAAGAATTCTTTTTTAGACTGTTAACTTTAGTACTGTTATTCTCACTTCTTCCCTCAAAAGAATTTTCCACTAGAAAAATACTACATAAAATGATCTTTACCAAAACCTCAGGGTGGTTATAAGTAGGTAACTAATTACACAGCTAGTATTTTGGTACTCAATGTGTGACAGACGCTACTATAGGAGCCACTCGTAAATTAACCCATTTAATCTTAACCTGTGAAAAACTGGGGACACAGTTATTAGATCAAGAGCCTGAGTCCATTCTCATCACTGATACACTCACCACCTCCCACTGAGTGAGATATATAGGAACCTCCATACTGCAACAAGCTTTTAGTATATATACTAAGTGGGCAAAACTAAAAAAACTCTAAACTTAAGATACTTTGTGTCTACCAGAGATCATACATTAACGTCAGTGACTATCTCCAAGACCCAACAAAGTGGTAGTTTTCGCCAGAAGAAAAAAAAAAAAAACACTACCACTAAACTGATTTTTAGGACTCAAGACAGCTCTCTATGTATGCAAACTATACGCAAACTACTTTTTGCAACAACTTTGCAATTTATTTTTCTCAGGCAGAAACGTAACTTCATGTGACTGGTCTCACGAAGAGAGCTATTAAATAGGGAGACTTCGATCTGAATCCTAACAAGGTCTATCTGGGCCCCATTCCCCAAGCCCATTCCAGTATATGATGCTATTCCACAACTGAGGACAGTAGCCAACACGTTTCTTTTGCTGGACAATGTTTGGATACGATTAAAGAGATCCAAAACTTAATTTTGGTTCCTAAAACTGACAGACTAGTGAAAAAGTTATTTTAAAGTCTACACCCTCCTCCTATCCCATTACCCTGACGGCCAACACTATTTTAACAGTGCCGTGCGATACCCCCAAAATCCCTGCTAACAACTAAGACAAAGAGGAGGACGATGTTGTTCGAAGGCTCAAAAAAGGAAGTCTCCGAACGTTCCGCGCTCACAGGACCGGGAGCACGGCATCCGCGGCCGCGCACCTTAATGAAGCCTATATCCTTGGCGTACTGACGGAAACACTGGCGGCACATGTTGAGGCCGTATTTCCGGATCAGACCGTGCCGGTTTGAACAGACGCGGCTGTAAGAAAAGAGACGGCGTTACTGCAGGAAGCAGAAATGGAAGGATTCCACACTCTGGGGCAACCACCCGCACCGCCCGTCTTCCCCGACCCGTCAGAGGCCCGTAATGGCGGCAGTCACAGCTCCACGGTCGGCCTAACCCCACACGCCGCGCGGGCTCCTCTCCATTAGAGTTCTGGCCGCGTCACAACCCAGTGCAACCCTTCCTTAAAACCACACTCGGTTGCTCACCAAGAACGAGAGCCCTGGCCAAACTTCCTCGGGTGGCTCCAGTAGAGCTGCTGGTGACCCATCTTGCTCTTTCGGATGCAACGAGGCAAAAGGAAGGAATCTGAGAACGCATGCGCTCTTCAAATTTTTGAGACAGTTTACCCAGAATGCAATGCTGACAAATGACGCGAGCGCTGTGCGGCTACGCTGTGTGGAGGGAGGGAATCGAGCGGTCTTGGAGGCATTCTAGGCCGGCCCGGCTGATGACGTCATCGCAACTCAGCCTCTAGTGTCGACTTGCGCTGCTCCCGAGCGCCGGGCGCGGTGGCGCGCGCCTGTAGTCCCAGCTACTCGGGAGGCTGAGGCAGGAGGATCGCTTGAGCCCAGGAGTTCTGGGCTGCAGTGCGCTATGCCGATCGGGTGTCCGCACTAAGTTCGGCATCAATATGGTGACCTCCCGGGAGCGGGGGGCCACCAGGTTGCCTAAGGAGGGGTGAACCGGCCCAGGTCGGAAACGGAGCAGGTCAAAACTCCCGTGCTGATCAGTAGTGGGATCGCGCCTGTGAATAGCCACTGCACTCCAGCCTGGGCAACATAGCGAGACCCCGTCTCTTTTGTTGAGGCCCCCCCCCAAAAAATGAATTTTGAACCTTTGAGAAAGACATAATCTTGTGATCTATTTTTTCATTTCCTGACCAATTCATGTTTTTAAAATTAAAGTTTTACGCTTGTAAAAAAGGATTTTGCTTCGACTCACCACTGACACCTGCTGGGACAAATTAACAAATCACTTAGAGTCAGCTGTAATAATTAAGAGTCAACGGTAGGAGTTTCTCTTATGTTAAACAGAATATGTTCTCAAAGCTGTTTCTTGGTTTTTAAATGACACATTCTTTTTTTCCCCCTCTTCCCTCTTTCTCCCCCCTCCTTCCTGACACATTCTTAGAGATAGACCTACAACGGTCCAGAAAAATGAGAGGCGTAGAGGGTTTGATATTTAAATGTGTTGAATTTAAAGTGAAAAACAACTTGCACAAAATATATGTTGCTTTGACCAGATGATTTGATTAAAAGACAACTACTAAAAAACAAATGCCATCTGATAGTCCGCTGAAAGAGCTTTAAATTCCATACAGGACGTTTATAATGCCTCTAGATAAACCTAAAAATACCTGGTTCCGAAATCAAAACTTTAAATAGATCTATAAAATGTACCACAGGGTGAAATTATCCAATAAATTTTTACACATGAATTCTTATATTAAGCCTGAAATACAACACTTTTTGAAGGTATGTTATCTCAGGATTCTGGTGGAGTGCCCCTCCAATCATTAAATTAGGTGTTTGGTGCATGATGAAGGAAGGAGGCAAGTCAGAAATTTAAAAAGCAAAAAAAAAAAAAAAAAAGATAAAAAGCCAGATATGACTTAATTCCTGATCTTGAGACTTCTAGAGGAAGAAAATTGAATTATCTCAAAGAGCCCTTCCTTCCAGTTTCAACTTGTGTGACTCAATGACCTAAATATAACTAGGTAAGCAGAATATTCTATGTCCAATGATGAATATACTCATGGTGTACAAGAGGAGCAAAGGAGAAATTAATTCCAGCTTGAAGTATATTTTAAGAGGCCTTTGAAATAAGCCTTGAAGAGTGGGATTTCTACAGGCAGCACTAGATGGAAGGGAATGCCTAGTGACAGGAAGCGTTTGAGCCAAAGTATGGAGTTGGGGAACCTGAACAATCTTGTTTAACTAGAGTTGAGGATGTACAAAAAGCTTAGTGATAGGTAACACAGAAACATGTTTTCAATCATTGATGTGTATAGTTTCCAAAATTCATGGGGCCCTCAAAAGTTAATAACATTTCCCCACCTATAGTCTTCTCAGACCTTTCCTAGCTGGTCTACATAATTTTTTAAAGATTACAATGGTTCTGAGATCAATTCCATAAATATTTCAACACTTTGATATAGAATCCTTTGGACCTAAAAAAGTGTGAACTCATTTAAAAGCAAAAAGGAAAAGGACAATTAGTTACAATTGAACAATCTGTTAAACTATCTTAACAGCCAACTAGTTCTTAATGTTAAAGCCAGCGCTCACTGGTCTTTCCAAAAATCCCAGAGCGCTTAAGAATTATGCTAAATCAAAAAAAAAATGCTAAATCTACTCTGCCTATGCTCTATAAATGGAACAACAAAGCCTAGATGACAGCACATTCATTTATAACACGGCTTACTGAATATTTCAAGCCTACTGTTAAGACATATGCTCAGAAAAAAGGATTCCTTTCAAAATATGACCGTTCATTGACAATGCCCCTGGTCACCAAAAACAAGGAGCTCGATGGAGATGTACAATGATATTAATGATGTTTTCATGCCTGCCAACACAACATTCATTCTGCAGCTCATAGATCAAGGAATCATTTCAACTTTCAAGTCTTTTTATTTAAGAAATCAGTTTTGTAAGGCCATGGCAGTCATACATAGTAATTCCTCCATTAGATCTGGGGAAATAAATTGAAAACCTCCTGGATTCACTATTTTAGATGCCATTAAGAACATTTGTGAGTTATGGGGAGAGGTCAAAATAGCAACATGATCAAGAGTTTGCAAGAAGCTGATTCCAACCTTGAGTTCTAGGGTTATTTGTTGTAACACTATCTGGAGGTCGCGAGCAAAGCCCTGGACTCTTTTCAGCCTCTATTCCCTTTGTGTAAAATGAAAGAAATGAATTAGAATATCTGTAAACTATGTTTCAGCTCTAAAAGCTTAGATTCCATGATAGGAGACCCTTTAAAAAGATTTAATTTGGTAGCAGTGTGGATGGTGGATCATTGCATTAGCCTTTTAACTGATCCCTGCTTCTAGTCCTGCTCTAAGACCTCCCAAGTAATCTCTTTACTGACCACAGTAACCTTTCCTAAACATGTCTGAATTTTATCTGCTGTTGAAAATTTTCAGTGGTTTCCCAGAACTTTCAGGCTAAAGTTCAAAGGCCTAGGTTTAGCAAACAAATTCTTTTTTTTTAATTTTTTTTTAATTTATTTATTTATGATAGTCACAGAAACAGAGAGAGAGGCAGAGACACAGGCAGAGGGAGAAGCAGGCTCCATGCACCGGGAGCCCGATGTGGGATTCGATCCCAGGTCTCCAGGATCGCGCCCTGGGCCAAAGGCAGGCGCCAAACCGCTGCGCCACCCAGGGATCCCTAGCAAACAAATTCTTTTCATCATCTGGCTACTTTATACTCCTCTGATGTCTGACATTTATTCCATTGTAGTACACTGTTGGTTTACTTGTCTCTCTTAAACACTGCAAAATCATCTCTGCCCTCTAAACATCTAATATAGGTGCTGGCATACAGCAAGAACACTATTAAGTATTAAATAAATGAATAAGTATTGAAGTAAAAGACCTGATAAGTTTAGGAATAGTTCTGGAGGGAAGTAATGTAGCTCTCAACTGACATGGTAGCACTAACCAGGGAAAGGTGGGTATTAATTAGGAAATCATCGTGGAAGCACAACTTATAAGACCTAATTAAGGAGCATCAACAGGGGCAAGGTAGCACTACACGGGTCTAATGTTTAAGTCTGTATTTGTTAACTATTTAGCTTTATTTAATTTAATGAAGTTTATGATTAAAAAAACTTAACTCTAAGATCTGGTCACAATGTGCTAGGGCAGACAAGTCTACACTGTCCATAGATTATGACCTCACTGTTTAATAATATGATGTGACTATGATTTACTAGTTTGAACCCAAGTGAGCCACAAACCTAAGTGAGTAAAGTTTACTGTGGGTACAAATGAAAGGGGGAAACTCAGAGATTCAATTAATTAACTGTTGAATGCTGTATATGTGAGCCAGAAACCCAGGGAAATAAATGAAAAGTAATTTTAGGTGCAATTGAATTCTCAAACTCCAAAAAAGGAGAACAAGATGTTAAAGGTAACTAGTGGAAACTGAACTGGGTTTTGAAAGATGAATAGGATCAATTAGTATGAACAAGACAGAGGGGAGGGATTAAGTGTAGTATGTAGGTCAGGAAGAAGAGGAACCAACCAATTTTACAGAAGAAAAACCAATCTAGTTGTCATTTCTTTGATTCCTTTTGTTAAAAACTGAAGCCCACTTTAAAATGCCTTGTATTTCTATGTTCAGTTAGTCTGCAATGCAAACTACCTTGAAGTAATTAAAGGTAGAAGAGGTCAACAGCCAGGTTTTGTTTGTATGGTAGTGAAGACAGAAACATGGATGGTAATCAAAGAATCTTTTTTTTTTTTTTTAATAAACTCTACACCCAGTGTGGAGCTCAAACTCACTACCCTGAGATCAAGAGTCTCATGCTCCACCAACTGAGTCAGTCAGGCTCCCCTAAAGAATCTTTTGCTTCCTAACCAGTCCAGGAAGACAAAAATAAATGCCAGTTCTTAGTATTTCAGCCATTAAAAGTAGAGAAACTAAGGGAAAGATGGCAGAGAGGGTGAGAGATCTCAAAAACCAATGTATGTTTACTTTCAGTCCAATGTTATTTTATGTAATCTTATTTAATAATTTTGGGAAACAAACATCTTTTTGAGACTGGCAATTAGGAAGTAAGTTTTTGGCAGTATACAACTGATGTGGGAAACAGGCAGAAGGAAATGTAGATAAAATTAAATACCCTTTTAACCTACAGTCCATGACAAATACTTGAGATAGATAGATTATAACATTCCTCCAGAATCCAAAGTCCTTTTGGAACTTCATTTAATTCCCCCAACCCCAAGGTATATAATCACTTGCTCTTTATAATCCTGGGGCAGCAGGGAGCTAGCTGCAGGCAGCAGCAGCTGCATCTCTTTCTGCCCACGGGTCCAGTCCCCATGTTTTAATAAAACGATCGTTTTGCACCCAAGACTTCTCAAGAATTCTTTCGTGGCCATGGGCTCCAGACCGCCCCCCCCCCCAACCGCCACCATTCAAGAACTACATCAACACTTTGTTCTACTCTAAAATCACCTTAGAACTTTTAGGTACATTTCATATATTTAGATTACTCAACATTTAATCACTGAATCTGTGCTTTAACAACCCAGGTAACACCAAATAGAGGGTTGAGGCTTTGTTATTGTTGTGGTAGTCTTAGGTTTTGTACATTTCTATTCTAATTAAAATTATATCGCTTTATACATTTAAGCTTTTCCCAGCTCCCAACTGTCCCTGGAAGTTCAGAGTACATTCAACGCACCTGTAACGCTTTAGGCTGTTGTTTTATTATTTTCTTGTACTCAAAAGAACAAAAATTGTTAACTCCTGTAAAGGTATCTTTGAAAGCTCTAAGGTGTCGTTTTAGTTTCGTTTCGTTTCTAACCATGAGATTAACAGTTGCTACACACGGAGTCATTTTCATGCTCTCTACATGGAAGAATTGTAAATAGAAATAGAAGTAATGTTTTATCAATCACTATTTTTTTTTTTTTTACACAATTATGTTGTTCAGAATGACAATCAACAGATACCACTTTTAGGTTCAACGTGTTGTAAACAGGGACGCTCACTTAACGGATAAATCATGTTTTCATAACCGAGAATCGGTTATTTCTGCAGGCCATTTCGCATTTGCGACAGGACAGCTCGAGACGGCATGAATGTTTAATAAAAGGCCGGGACTAGGGTGAGGCGAGGGAGGCGCCCAGGGCACAAAACGTAGGGAGACAGGACTCCGACCCTGAGAGCGCCTCCCTCGCCCCACCTGCGGCCTGGTCCTTCGTGGGTACAGGTAACAAGGGGTGCGACGGGCGTCAGGGGCCTGGACGGTTTTTCCAAGGGTCCGACGCCGTTAAGCCACTCGCTCCAACCAACCTAGCAGCGGTTTACAAAGTAGGAATCTGTTCAACAGAAACTGCCAGGGCAAACACTGCCCTCTCAAATTCCGTCCTGACGTGACAGGCTCCTCCGGAGGGGAGCCACCAAAAACTAAACAAACACCAGCCCGTCGGCGCCGGCACTGGGCAACTCGTAAAGCCCCAATCCCGAAGCCAGGTAGGCAGAGACCTCCCCTCTCCCGAGGGACACCCCGCTTCCCTTCGGTGTACTCGACGACCCGGCCCGCCCCGGCCCGGGAACGCGCGGAGCGTCACCGGCGGAAACTAGAACCCCGCCCCCAAACTCTAACCACCCGCGCCCCCGCCGCAAGCGTTCGCGGGAAAGGACGTTGCGCCTCGGCCAGTCGCCGGTTTCGGGAGACGCGAGCCGCGTCCTCAGGCGACTTGCAGCCACAGCGAGGACCCGGCCCTGCGCGTGAGAGGGGCGGCCGTCGCCCGCGCGGCCCTGGAGAGCCAGGGTCCTGAGGAACCCCGAGCTGTTGGCGCTGGGAGCCGGCAGGCAGCTCCGGGGGCAGCCCGCATGCTCCAGGACCCTGGCGGCGGCGGCGCGGCGCGGCGGGAACCGGGAAGTTTCAAAGCGCAGTGGCGGAGCTGCCGCGGGCCGCCGCTCCGGCGACATGAAGCTACACTGTGAGGCTGAGGTAGTGAGTCGGCAGCTGCCGGCTCTGGGAATGAGGAACCGGGGTAAGGGCGTCCGGGCGGTGTTGAGCCTCTGTCAGCAGACGGCCCGAGGTCAGCCTCGGGCTCGGGGCGAGCGAAGCGGCGCGCACCTCACCTGCCTGTTTATCTCCACCCTGAAGGACAAGCGCGGGACCCGCTATGAGGTGCGTGGACCCAACTGGCCCCGCGGGAGTCGGCCTTCAGCTCCTCGCCTCCGGGCCTCGCCCGCCCGCCCGTTGCCGAGGCCGGAGCCGGTCTGCGGGGTGCCTGAGCCCCACCACCGCCCCGAGCCCTGGGCGTCCGTCCCCCTGTGGACCCGAAAGAGGAAAGCTTTTGAGAGCGCACCTTCTCGTTTATTTTTCTCTCCCGTGTCTTTGGCTTTAAGCTGACAGCCTTTCTTTTTACTGATAGATAGTAACCCTGCCCCTTTAAGGCGTCTGGAAACTCGGCCTGCGTGAAAGGAAACTTTAAGTGAAACGACGATCCAGTTTAGGGGGCCAGTAAAGTAATCGCACTTTCGTTCAATAATTTTTTTAAAACCGTTTTTTAAATTAAATTAATTATTTTTTAGTTAATTAGTTTTTTAGGAATTTATTTCTGGCTTTTTAATTTTTTTTTTCCTCCTACAGTTTTTTTCGCTAGCTTTCTGTTTTGTTTTTAAGACTTTAAGGGATGGTCAAGGTCGCTAGCCCAGATTAGTACAGTGGTAAAGCAATAATACTTCAGGTTGCATATTGATGTTTTTATTCATGTTCCTGCATCTCTTTTCTCTTTTCTTAAATGTTTAATTTCCTAAGACTTGATTTTCTAGGGCTAGGACTCTTTCTCATCTGCACAGCAGTAGTAAGCTCTCTAGAAGGTGTTGGAAGTTGAAATAGAATTTTCAAAGCACAGGTTTTATAAAATCCTTTTCCCCTCATTTCATCAGGCACTGTTATTTTGTAGAAATGACTGGAATACCCTTGTGTCTACTATAAATAAAGTTGAGGGGGCAACTCATCTCCCACCCTTGCATCTGAGTTTTGTCTGGATTTTGTACAGTTTCTGGGATTATTTCCCTTATGGTGTTGTACTCCACAGTGAATACTCTTAACTTGAGGGAAGGGGCTATTACCATCTCATTCAGAGACACTTTGTAATTGATATAGGCATTTGAAAGTATGCATAGTTTCTCCCTCTTCATGGAATCAACTCATACAGTCTTTCAACTTGAAAGAACTTCAGCAGTCACCCAACATTTTATAAGAAGTCTGTAAGATGACAGAAGCAAACTCAACAAGAGTTTTGTCTGTCTTTTCTTCACCGTTATCTTCCCCAAAACCTCTTTCATGCCCAGCTCAGGTACTGTCTATTTTAAAAGTCTGTAATGATTTCTTCCTTAAAACTTAAGCTGCATTAATAATTGTAGGTGGTAATTCTAATCTAAATTTTATTGTGAGGGATCCCTGGGTGGCGCAGCGGTTTGGCGCCTGCCTTTGGCCCAGGGCGTGATCCTGGAGACCCGGGATCGAATCCCACATCGGGCTCCCGGTGCATGGAGCCTGCTTCTCTCTCTGCCTGTGTCTCTGCCTCTCTCTCTCTCTCTCTCTGTGACTATCATAAATAAATAAAAAAATTTAAAAAAATTTTATTGTGAGCTGTGAGTTGAAGGTTTACTGTGTGCAAGATGCTATGCTAGGTACTGTGGGAGAATAAACTTGGTTTAGTCACTATCCTTACAACACTGGGAAGAAATAGAAGTAGAAACCAGTGCTTACAATACAAGTTGGACTATGATAAATGTTATAATAAAGGTAGAAGAATAGTTTCAAAACAAAATGAGTTTGATTACAGAGGCTTGAGGAAGTTTTTTGTTTTGTTTTGTTTTTTTTTTTTTTTTTGAGGAAGTTTTTATAGAAGAGGTGGTGCCATAGGGCTTGGGACGACATAGTAGGTACTCCATAAACATTTGTTGAATATATTAAAGTGGTGTTTATCCTGGGCCTTGAAGACAAGGTATTAGTGCTATGTATGGGAAGTACTTTAGGGATCTTTCGTAAACCAGCTTTTCCATCCCATGATTCAGCTCCTGCCCATCTCACTGTGATTTCCAAATCTGTGGCTAGTCCTCTCCCTTAGTTTGCAACTTGGATCTTTTATAAATTGGAAATCTTCACTTGGATGTGTTGTAGCATTTCAAACTCAAGAAAATCTAAAAATTAATTTTCTTTACCACCAATAAACTTCCTCTTCTGTAATTCATTAAATAGTGCTCTGCTCTTGGGGCACCTGGGTGACACAGTCAGTTGAGCATCTGCCTTAAGCTCAGGTCCTGATCCCAGGATCCTGGGATCCAATCTTGGAGTCAGGCTCTGCAAAGGGTCTGCTTCTCCTTCTCCCTCTGCTCCCCACTCCCCCCGCCCCATGCTCTCACTTTCTCTCTCAAATAGATAAATAAAATATTTTTTTAAAAAATAGTGTTCTCTTCTATCCGGAAACCTTAAGGCTTTTGCATTCCCACATCTAAAATGTTGAATCCTTTTAATTCAACCTCCTATATTTTTCAGATTTTCATACCTCCTTCTGTCCCAACTGCAGTCTAAATTACCATTACCCCTTGCCTGGCTAGTCTCTTAAAAGATATTCCTATCTCTACCTGCATCCATCCCCTCTCCCTTGCCCCAAAGTTCATTCTTACACTGTAGTTAACGGGAATTTATCAAAATATAGATCTAACTATGTTCCCAGCTTCAAGTCATTCAGTGGATATTGTTTGTAGAATAAAATCCAAAACTCTTTTTTTTTTTTTTTAAGATTTCATTTATTTATTCATGAGAGACAGAGAGAAGCAGAGACCTAGGCAGAGGGGGAAGCAGGCTCCCTGCGAGGAGTCTGGCTTGGAGATTGGATCCCAGGATCCCGGAATCATGACCTGAGCCAAAGGCAGACACTCGACCACTGAGCCACCAAGGCAGGCACCCCCAAATCCAAAATTCTTGACATAGTTTACAAAGTCTTTTGCCATTCATTCTCTGCCTGTCCAGGTTCACCTGCCTCTTTTCATGGAATCCTTCAGCCATACTGAACTTCTTTCAGCTCCTCACAGCTGCCAACCTCTCTTGCCTTCAAGGCTTTGCACACATTTTTTCCTTTTGGTATGCTATTCCCTCTCTTTCCCCAGTACCTTCACTTGCCCAATATCTCCTAATCCTTCAGTTCTCACCTTCAAGGTCACCTTTTCCCTTGACCAGGTAAGGGATATCCATTTGCTATATGATATGAGGTCTTAGAGCAACCTGTACTTCCCTTATCTTAATATTTGTTAGGCTTGTAATTATTTAATAATCTCTCATCAGACTGACAGCTTTGTAAATACCATGTTGGTTTTCTTTACTACAATTGTTTTAAGCCCCCTATTATATTAACTGGTACAGAGTGAGTGCTCATCAGTAGTTGAAGTCTAAAGCAGAAGCAACATCAGTCATTAAAATTTTTTGAGCACCTATTATATATTGGCCACTATTGTGGCTCCATGGATACAGTAGTGAACAAAGGAGACAAGATTCTGCTTTCAGGGAGTTTATAATCTTGTGGGAGGTATATCGACTTGAGAGTAATGAACTCAAGAAGGCAAGTAACTACTATTGGCAGTTCCTATTATGGCCACATAGTTGGAATGGGACTAAAGGAGCTTTTTCCCAAACAGGATTCACAGGTAAGAGTTACTGGGCTAATAAAACAATAATATCTACCATAAGCTAGATAAGAAATGTAGCTACCCAAATGCTAAAAGAAAAAAACCCAATGAAATTAAAACTAAAAACCACAGAACACCCAGACTTAAGGAGTAAAAGTCTGGCAACGTAACTGGCACATTCTAGTTGTAAATAATATTTATTGACTATTAATTATAAATATATTATCTAGTAATAAACATTACTGAATAATAATACCTGGTTTTGTCCTTTTTTTTTTTTCCTTTTTTTTTCTCATTGGTTTTAAGTAGCTAAAGGAAAACATTGAGCAATTCTTCACCAAATTTGTGGATGAGGGGAAAGCTACTGTTCGGTTAAAGGAGCCTCCTGTGGATATCTGTCTAAGTAAGGTATGATCTTTTTTTGTCTTTTTTAAATATTTTATTTATTTATTTATTTGAAAGAGCACAAGCTGGGGGAGAGACAGTGGCAGACTCATTGCTAAGTGGGGAGCCCAACACAAGGCTCAATCCTAGGACCCTGGCTTCATGACCTAAGGCAGATGCTTAACAGACTGAACCACCTAGGCACCCCTAAGTAAGGTACAGTATTAAAAACATTAATGATTAGTTTGGTTGACTGTATTTTCTTTATAGAAGAGTCTAAGCATCCTGATATCCCACATAGCTGAATAGAGTTGGATACTTGGCAGGTATGTTTGAAGAAGCAATAGCAGCTTCTTTGGCATGCTGGCATAGCTCTAAAAGTGAAGAGAGCCTGGTAAGGCTATGCAGGATGAGGAAGAAGGAAAATGACTTGTTTCAGTGTTCCAGGTGGAGTCTTAGGGTATTCTTAGAGGAAAACTCTAAGGCCAGGGGCACAAGTCTGCATTTTGTGAGCATAACCACAGTTTACAAATCTAAATTTAGGGTAAAAAAAGATCAAATACAATTAGGATCATTTTAGGAGTACTTTATTTATTATTATCTTTTTAGAAAATACTTAAACCATTGAAATAAAACTTTGCTATGCCCTATCTCCCCTTCTCCCGACCCGCTCCCAGAGGGTAGAGGCAAGATCTCATACAACCTTGCATTATCCTCAACCCAAAGTGCTTTGTAAATAAGAAAGTTTGATGATAATTTAAGGTATTTGTAGTGAATGGAAACATTTTGTTCTACCTCCTTTCTTGCAGGTTTTCATTTTCTCTTGATACTCAGCCTTCCTTCTATTCCCTTCTACCTAAAAACAAGCTGAGGTCTTACCAAGTAAGAAAATAGAATAGACAAATTTCTAAAAAGACAAGGCCAAATCCATGGCCTCCACTTACTATCTCGTTTTCACTTTTGTTTTCAGTGGTTTATTCAAAACACTGTCTCAAAGATCACTGATGTCCTTCCTATTTGCCAATCACATTACCATTATTATTTTTTTTTTTTAAGTTTACTCATGTGAGACACACAGAGAGAGAGAGGAGGCAGAGACAGAAGCAGGCTCCCTGCAAGGAGCCCAAAGTGGAACTTGATCCCTAGACTCGGGGATCATGCCCTGAGCCAAAGGCAGATGCTCAACCGCCAAGCCACCCAGGCATCACACGTAGCCATTATTTTTCATCCTTTTTGAGCTCTGTAGAATTTGACACTGATGACTACTCCCTTCTTAATAAAACTTTCTTTTCCTAGCATCTGTGACAGGGCACTATTTTGGTTTACCTTTGGTTTTTCTTAGCCACTCCTTTGTCTCCTATCTCTGGCATCTTTTTTCCTATCCCCCAATTAAAGGCTTTATTCCAGTCCTTTGCCTTTTCCCTACCATACCTGCCTTCCATTCTCATAGCTCAGTCTTTGTCACTTTGAAATCTTTAAGCCATTACCCTGTACTAGACCTACTTGACCCAGGTCTCCAAACTTACCTCACACTACTTCACTGTGTATACTGCTGCTGAAATAATATTTAGCCTTGTCATGTAATTCTCATGCTTAAAGTTCTTCAAATATTTCCCACAACCTGATTGTTCCATCCTCCTTACTTGATAACAGGTTCATCTATACCATCCCCATACTGTATTTTACATCTCTACAAAGCTCCTACGTTCCAACCAAATGAGATCACATACTGTTCTCAAACTTGCTACAAGTTCACTAGTCCTTCACATCTAAACTCTAGGAAACTTATATAATATACTGCAAGCATTAGTTATTTCTATTGATAACTTAGTTCACATATCACTTTGCTAGTGGTTTTTCTGTCCAGCTGGAAGCCATCTCTCTTGCTTTTCATGTTTTCTAGCACTTGTTACAGTGCCATTTGGCCCTGCTTTTGACAGCGTTGTTGCTTTTCATAATTCCAAGTTTTTGTGTGAATGGCAGCCCTGGGTATTTTGCAATGCACAGCACCATTTCAGTCTATCTCAGAGGCACTGGAGATTTGCCTTAGTTCATCTTTTTTTTTTTTTTTTTTAAGATTTGTTTATTTTAAAGAGAAAGTAAGAGAGCACGAGCAGGAGGAGCAGGGGGAGAGAAAGAGAGAATCTCAGACCACACTGAGTGCCAGCCAACATGGGCTTGATTTTACGACCCTGAGATCATGACCTGAGCCAAACCATGAGTCAGATGCTTAACTGACTTCACTACTGACACACCCCTAAAGGTTTTGTTTTTAAGCAATCTTCTCACCCAACGTGGGGCTCGAACTCACAACCCTGAGGTCAAGAGCTACACACATCACCAAATGAGCCACCCAGGTGCCCTGTCTCAGTTCATATAAACCATTACAGCCATTTCCAAGAAATTATTGCATCATTTTGCATGTATAACTTTATAGAATTCATTACAGGATGAATTAGCATGCATATATTATCTAAAGTGGAATTTATAATTGTATAACTTATTTTTATTTATCTAGGCCAATTCCAGCAGTTTAAAGAGTTTCCTTTCAGCTCTGAGACTGGCTCACAGAGGTTGTGATATTGAAGCACCGCTTTCAACCTTCGCACCAGTGAAGACTTCAGAATTTGAAAAATGTAAAACTAAAATGGTTATCACATCCAAAAAGGACTATCCTCTAAGCAGGAACTTCCCACCTTCTCTGGAACATCTTCAGACTTCTTATTGTGGGCTTATTCGAATTGATACACGTATGCTTTCCTTAAGAAACCTTAGGAAATTAGACTTGAGTCACAACCATATAAAAAAGCTTCCAGCTACAATTGGAGACCTCATCCATCTTCAAGAACTTAACCTGAATGACAATCACTTGGAGTCATTTAGTGTAGCCTTGTGTCAATCTACACTCCAGACATCACTTCGGAGTTTGGATCTCAGCAAGAACAAAATTAAAGCACTCCCTGTGCAGTTTTGCCAGCTCCGAGAACTTACAGATCTGAAACTTGATGATAATGAATTGATTCGATTTCCTTTCAAGATGGGACAGTTGACAAACCTGCGTTTTTTGTCGGCAGCTCGAAATAAGCTTCCTTTTTTGCCTAGTGAATTTAAGAATTTATCCCTTGAGTACTTGGATCTTTTTGGAAATACTTTCGAACAACCAAAAGTACTTCCAGTTATAATGCTGCAAACGCCATTAAGTTTACTGGAATCCTCTGCACGAGCCATATTATATAATAGGTAAGACTTTAATAGTCATAAAATGTGATATCTTTGTTAGCATTCTAGTATTTTCATCATCCTTATTGTTTTTGTTTTAAGATTTTATTTATTTATCTGACAGAGAAAGAGCATGAGCAGGGGAAGTGTCAGGGAGAGGGAGAGCAGACTCCCCGCTGAGCGAGTTGCTGAATGCGGGGCTGGATCCCAGAACCTTAGGATCATGACCTGAGCCGAAGTCAGACACTTAACCTACTAAGCCACCTAGGCGCCCCTCATCATCCTTGTAATCACTGTCTTTAACGTAGTTTACAATGCTGTGCACAAACTGACCCCTTGCTCCAGTGACCTTCTTGGTGCTCCTAACCTCTGCTTGGAATGCTTTTCTTTTCTTTTTTTTTTTTTTTTTTTAAGATTTTATTTATTTATTCATGAGAGACACAGGCAGAGGGAGAAGCAGGCTCCATGCAGGGAGCCCAATATGGGACTCGATGCCGAGTCTCCAGGATCAGGCCCTGGGCTCAAGGCAGCACTAAACCGCTGAGCCACCCAGGCTGCCCTTGGAATGCTTTTCTTCCAGAAAGTTCCATAGCTCACTTTCTCACTTCAGTTCTTTTCCAGTGGCACCCAGAAAGGTCTTTTCTGACTATTTATAGTTTGGGACAGCCCTTTACATAGCTTGCCTTGTTTTTATCACAGGATTTGTTATGTGGCATTACATTTTTTTTTTAATTTTTTTTTTTTTTAATTTATTCATGATAGTCACAGAGAGAGAGAGAGAGAGGCAGAGACACAGGCAGAGGGAGAAGCAGGCTCCATGCACCGGGAGCCCGACGTGGGATTCGATCCCCGGTCTTCAGGATCGCGCCCCGAGCCAAAGGCAGGCGCTAAACCGCTGTGCCACCCAGGGATCCCTATTTCACAGTTTAAAAGTCCCTTTTAACAGTGGATGCCTGAGAGAGTATTTGGATTTATTTATATAAATATTTCTTCACAGGGAGAAATCCATAATTTTCCCATTACCGTTATGAGAATTGTGTAACAACTATGTATTTAAATGATCATTTTATATTGGTCATACAGTATAGATGTAAAGGACAGATGACTTTTCATTTTATTCCATGGGTTTTGCTATTAAGTGACAGTGCTAAAAGATACTTTATGTGGTAGTATAGATCCTCTTAGGTTTACAGCATCATATGGTATTTTTAGTATATTTTCCCCGCTCTTAACTGTTTGGAAGAGAGAACCTTACTGGAGTAATCTTATTTTTCCATGGTTATAATTCAGTGTCCAGTAATTCATGATATTTTACATGAATTTCTGAATCTAGTAACATATTTAAACAGTATTTTTTAAACTTTTTTTCCATTAGGATTCCATATGGCTCTCCTATCATTCCTTTGCATCTTTGCCAAGATTTGGATACTGCAAAAACCTGTGTTTGTGGAAGATTCTGTCTAAACTCTTTTATTCAGGGAACTACTACCATGAATCTACACTCTGTTGCTCACACTGTGGTCTTAGTAGATAATATGGGTGGTACTGAAGCGCCTGTTATCTCTTACTTCTGTTCTCTAACATGTTATGTAAATTGCTGTGATATGTTAAAGTAATAGGTGATACCACAAAAAGAAATTCCGTCTAGTTACAGATCAGTTTGGGATTCATTTATGGTTTAACTGTGTCAGATTGGAGAAAGGGAAGCCTTTTGTATACTTACTTGAAGGGAAGAATGTGTTACTCTAACATTTTCAATCATTTGACTGTAAAACCTTAATTTCATTAAGACCTATATTATTTTATTGTGAAATAAACTTTTATTAGTTTATTGCACTTGTGCTGATTTCAGCATAATATTTCCAGAATGGGTTGTGGGGTTATCTTTTAATGTTAAACAGAAGTTGATGCCTACCACTCCAGTCATAGAATTTTCTTATCAGTTTTATTCTTGAATTTCAATTAAAGAAATTGAATTTCTGTATGCAAAAAATATACCTTGGAAGACTAAGATAGTCTAAATTTTAGTGAGAACTTGTCTGGTATGAATCTATGGTATACCGTTTTTTGTGTTTTTCAGGTATATTCTACATATAGAAGTCTGTTTTCAAGCATAAAGTTGGAGTTGCTTTGGGATAAACAGACATCAGCTTTTATAAGTTTTGTAATGTAATTCACATAATTTTTGTTGTGATTTCTAAGTTTTTTGACTTTTAGAATTGGAACAAGATTTTAGGGTTGTTTAGAAGGAGCAGAAAATTGCTACATTTTACTGACTACATTCTGTATTCAAGGGTTGTTCTTTTTTCGGTTTATTATTTTAGTCACTTAATATTTTTGTATTTTTAATTTAAAAGGTGGTAGTGATACACCGGCTAAACTATGATGAGGATTTGAGATAAGGCGAGGGAATGGAAAACGAAGCTGCTTGAAAAAATTGTGGAAAATGGAACCAGTAGAACTGTTCTGTTCGGTTCATTCCCACTCCTCTTCAAATCAGCCTCTCTTTTACATCATTGAAATAGCCTCATAACTGGTTTCTGGGAACAAAGGAGGTGAAAGATTAAGAGTTACTGGAGAAAACCCCTCTCAGGTATTAGCATTAACCACTGCTGTTTTGGGCTTAGAGTTACAGGTAATCTATGTAAGACTATTTTTTAAGCATAGGTAACTACTACTTCCTCTGTCCTCCTAAAATATTTCTTTGGAGCATCCTATTCTTTTCCTGAAAATACAACTATTCCTCAGTAAATACTGTTTTAAATGTTAAAATATTTTTATATTAAAACTTTATGTATAGGATCTCCAAAACATCTCTTCTTCTTAGAGCAGATTCTTTGATCCAGAGGAGTAATTCTTGGCTGACTTTAAATTTGTATTGCTTGTTGTCAATTAAATTCTTCCTGCAAAAGATTTCTATCTAACTTCTAGTTTTTCATTTAAAAAATCACATATATAAAGCAAACATGGCTTAAATAAAAAGAGCTGCCATTTAACTACATCTTGTTCCAGGTGTTTTACATACATTATTTGATTTAATCCTCACAAATTACCCTAGGAGGTACTGTGAACCCAGATCAGAGATTTTAAGCCCAGGCTTTATACTGCCTTCTAAAGTTAATTCATTTTTTATTCTTTAAAACTAAGAATTCTAGGACGCCTGGGTGGCTGTGGTTGAGCACCTGCCTTTGGCTCAGGTTGTGATCCCCACGGCCCTGTGATGGAGTCCATGGGCCCTGTGATTGAGTCCATCGGGCTTCCCACAGAGAGCCTGCTTCTGGAGACCTTTGCCTATGTCTCTGCCTCTGTTGTCTTTCATGAATTCTTTCATGCTGCGTATTTAACTTGTATCCAATTTTTTTTAAGATTTTATTTATTCATGAGAGACACGGGGGGGGGGGTGGGGGGGAGGGAGAGAGAGAGAGAGAGAGAGGCAGAGACACAGGCAGAGGGAGAAATAGGCTCCATGCTGGGAGCCTGATGTGGCACTAGATCCTGAGTCTCCAGGATCACGCCTTGCGCTGAAGGCGGTGCTAAACCGCTGGGCCACCCAGGCTGCCCATGTATCCAATTTTTACATGTTCTTGTAGAAAGTTATTTTAAGTGGAGTTTTTAAATTTTAAGATTTTATTTATTTATTCAAGAGAGACACAGAAGCAGAGGCATATAGGCAGAGGGAGAAGCAGGTTCCATGCAGCAAGCAAGCCCTTTGTGGGACTCCATCCCCAGACTCCGGGATCATGCCCTGAGTCAAAGGCAGACGTTTAACCGCCGAGGTACCCAGGCATCCCTAGAAAGTCATTTTTCATCATCAACAAATCAAATATATCTATGTTGGGACAAAGTGCCAACCAGCTGTTACCCTTACCCCTTGCCCTTTGCATTCTTATTCATCTATGAGCCATCCCATGTAAATATCTTGGCCAACTTAAAATCCTTATACAAAATGCAGAATTTTTTTCATAACCCATACGCTTTGTCACTTTTTTTGATACTCATGTTTTACCTCCCATGGGTTACAAGGCTCACTTGATTTTCAGCCTTCCTTTCAATTTTCAGTGGTTTACTGCTTACTTTCTCAAACCTGTGACCAAGAAGTTGCAACATTTGAGTATCTCCCAAAATGATTTCTAAAAAATCTAGTTTGTGCTATCACAGACTCACATTTTTTTCATAGCTTCAGAATCTCTTGCTTTAGAACTGGTCCTTACATTCAGGACCAGTCTAAAAGGGTGCTATGGTGCTGTCCCAAAAACTATGATGGAAAGGTTATCTGTGTTGTCCAGTAGGGGTAGCCACTCAGCATGTGTGGCTGTTGAGCACTAAATGTAGCTAGTGTAACTGAGCAAGTGCATTTTTAATTTAAATACCTATATATGGCTAGTGCCCCCCCCCAATTTGCAAGTCAGCTTTTTATACCTCAACTTGGATACTCTGCCCCAGTCAGCTATAGGCAGGCCTAATTTATCCTCTTCATTTACTTTTTTCAAAATCTGATTTCCCAGCAGCTCATCAGTCATGATTACAAATTCATCTAACACATAAGTTTGAAATTGACCAGAAAAAGTAAAGAAAGTAGTTTTTTCCCTGCTAATGTGATTTATCTCCATAACCTAGCTCTAAAGTTGGGAGGTGGGACTCCTGTATTCTTTATATATAAATGCAAAATTCCAATTTTGTGGAACTAAATATAAGAATTTGAGAAGAGGATAAATCTTAGTTCATTGACAAATTTGCTATCATTTCCCTAATTATGAATCGCGTTAGGCATGTGATTCTATTTGGATTTCAAGAAAACGCAAAATATTTGAGTGAAAGTATCACAGCATTTATTTTCAAATGCGTAATTCTACAGCGTCAACATTTTCCTCTCAAAATCGCAAAGCTTAGAACTGGATCACTTGGCCTTTTCTCTTCTTATCTCCTCCCAGTTCGAAATGCTTGCATCTCTTAATGGCCAGCATCCTCTTGGACCTGCAGTTAGGTTCAACGCATTCAAGCCTCAGCACAATCTTCTTTGTGGTTTTAGCCTTCTTCCGGAAAATTGGCTTTGTCTGCCCACCATAGCCACTCTGCTTCCGATCATAGCGCCTCTTTCCCTGGGCATAAAGGGAATCCTTGCCCTTCTTATACTGGGTCACTTTGTGAGGCTGATGCTTTCCACACTTCTTACAGAAAGTCCTTCGGGTTTTGGGAACATTGACCATCTCTGCAGTGGCGTTGTCTGCACGACGAAAACTGGTGAAACATTTAAAATTACAGTAACAGACGTTAAACATTTTGAATAAAGTGCTCTAAAAATCTAAGAAAACATTACATTTATCAGTAATGTATAAACCCACCAAGTACTCCTTTTACATAGGAGTCAATACATAAACGTAAGAGTGCACGCCTTTTGGGAATGCTTGGGGCATTAATTAATGGAATTAGATTCACTAAAAGTCCGCACGAGCAGCGGCACAGGGGCGCCCAGGAGACAGCTCCCCCCACAACCCGGGTCCTTCGGAGCTTGAGTGGTGGCGGTTACCCAATTTTCTCTCTCGGAGACGGCCACCGTGGCGGACTCCTCCTCGCAGCCCCTTCCTCCCTGTTCTAGCTCCTGCGTATCCCGGCTCGGCTCGGCTGCGGCCAGCGCTGCGGCCCGCCGCAGTCCCTTCTTCGGCGACTGCCTAGTCTGGTTTCACTTTCCCCTCCGAGGCGCCGTCACCCGTCAGCAGCCCTGAAGGCTGACGTGTCCTTAGTGTCTCCGGCCCACTGGCCGCCATTCGCGAGCAGCCCCTTCCGAGGGGGGACGCCAGTCCTCCAAGTACCAAGCCAAGGCGGCGGGTGGGGCCCACCCCAGACTCAGAGCACTGGAGGCGCCCGCGGAGACCCCGGCAGCACTCCCGCCCCAGCTTACCGGGAAACTCGGCGTCCACCGGCCTCACCTCGCTTCGCTCGCGCCTCACAGGAAAGGGAGGACCAAGCGGAAGTAGGAACTGAGCGTGAGCGACAGTGCGACGGCCCAATAGGCAGCAGGCAGCGGCGGCCTGGCGTCCCCGGACGCGTCCGGGAAGCTCCAACCAGCGGCCCCAGGGGCGGGCCGGAGGGGTGTGGGCCCGAGGGCCGCGGCGCTCGGCGGGCCAGTCGCGGGTTGTCAGAACGGTCGCCGGCGGAGTGGGGCGAGGCTGCGTCGCTGGCTCTCGGCGGCCTGGGGCCCGCGTAAGGATGAGAGAGCAGCGGACGCGGGGCCGCTGGAGGCGCAGGTAACCCCGCGGGGGTGCGGTGGGGCCGCGGCGGCGCTTCTTCCGGGACCCGTGCTGAATGGAGAGGACCGAGGCGACGCCGAGCCGCGGCTCCTAGCGGCGGGGCCGCTGCCCGAGCTGCCGCTGCCAGGCGAGGATGTGGGGAGCCTGGGCGGCTCGGGGGAACTGAGACCCTTCGGGCCCCAGGACCCCCGGGACCCGAGATGAGTTAGCTGGGGCAGCCGCGGGGCCAGTACCGACTGCTACAGGCCAAGGCGACGGCCGCCACCCGCCCGCCCCTTCTGTGCAGAAGCCGCTAGCTCCTCTTCGCGCCCGCCCGCCCGCCCGCCCGCCCGCGCTCCCGGCCCTGGAGACCATGAGGTTCCGCATCTACAAGCGGAAGGTGCTGATCCTGACGCTCGTGGTGGCCGCCTGCGGCTTCGTCCTCTGGAGCAGCAATGGGCGACAAAGGAAGAACGAGGCCCTCGCCCCGCCGCTGCTGGACGCCGAGCCCGCGCGAGGTGCGGGCGGCCGGGGCGGGGACCATTCTGCGGTGTCCGTGGGCATCCGCCGGGTCTCCAACGAGTCGGCGGCTCCTCTGGTCCCGGCGGCCCCGCAGCCCGAGGCGGACAACCTGACGCTGCGGTACAGGTCCCTGGTGTACCAGCTGAACTTTGACCAGACGCTGAGGAATGTAGATAAGGCCGGCTCCTGGGCACCCCGGGAGCTGGTGCTGGTGGTCCAGGTGCATAACCGGCCCGATTACCTCAGACTGCTGCTGGACTCACTCCGAAAAGCCCAGGGCATTGACAACGTCCTCGTCATCTTTAGCCATGACTTCTGGTCCACAGAAATCAATCAACTGATCGCTGGGGTGGATTTCTGTCCGGTTCTGCAGGTGTTCTTTCCTTTCAGCATTCAGTTGTACCCCAACGAGTTTCCAGGCAGCGACCCCAGAGATTGCCCCAGAGACCTGGAGAAGACTGCAGCTTTGAAGATGGGATGCATCAATGCTGAGTATCCCGACTCCTTTGGCCATTATAGAGAGGCCAAGTTCTCCCAAACCAAACACCATTGGTGGTGGAAGCTGCATTTTGTATGGGAAAGGGTCAAAGTTCTTCGAGACTATGCTGGCCTCATACTTTTCCTAGAGGAGGATCACTATTTAGCCCCAGACTTTTACCATGTCTTCAAAAAGATGTGGAAGTTAAGGCAGGAAGAGTGTCCTGAGTGTGATGTTCTCTCCCTGGGGACCTATACGGCCATTCGAAGTTTCCATGGCATTGCCGACAAGGTAGATGTGAAAACTTGGAAATCCACAGAGCACAATATGGGTCTAGCCTTGACCCGGGATGCCTATCAGAAGCTGATTGAGTGCACAGACACTTTCTGTACTTATGATGATTATAACTGGGACTGGACTCTTCAATATTTAACTGTATCTTGTCTTCCAAAGTTCTGGAAAGTGCTGGTTCCTCAGGTTCCTAGGATATTTCATGCTGGAGACTGTGGTATGCATCACAAGAAAACCTGTAAACCGTCCACCCAGAGTGCCCAAATTGAGTCACTCTTAAATAGTAACAAACAGTACTTGTTTCCAGAAACTCTAATTATCAGTGAAAAGTTTGTGGCAGCCATTTCCCCACCTAGGAAAAATGGAGGGTGGGGAGATATTAGGGACCATGAACTCTGTAAAAGTTATAGAAGACTGCAGTGAAAAATCACAATTACAAAAGCAAAAGTGACAGTCTTCTATTTTTGATATTTGTCCAAACAGAATATACAATTCAATAAAAGGGTTTAGAAACTGGTTTCTGCTTTAATACGGAAAAAAAAAATTCTTGTAAAAGGTGTCCAAATATGGTAATCTTTTCCTTCGATGTCTGATTAAAATTTAAACACAAGTTTTCGAGAGTTGGGTTTTAAAGTTCAATCTGTATCTGCTAAAGGTAATCATTGTTAATTGGTAAAAGAAAAATTTTATTTAAATTGCATCTATTAATCTTTTTATCTGGAACTTTGTACACTTTTCGACTTTCAAAACTTATTTTAAGTACAGACTTTAAAAGTGTCTTAGCAGTAAAAAGTATTACAATGGAATTATTAGAGTATTAATGGAACAAAGCCCAATTTCACTCAACATGGTTACTAGGAAGGGATTACTTCACTGGTTTTATAATTCAAAAGTTATGTTTGTTAAACACCCTATCAGAAAAGACATTTTCAGTATTACAGATTCCTGTATTATTGTGTTAAGATTTGCCTGTGCTTTGGAACCTTCATAAAACACACTTTCTTTTGGAATGTATTTGATTGATAAGAAAGTTTAAACACTGTTTTCACCTCAATGTAGAAATACAGTGGGTTTTTTTTTCCTTTAGTGCTGCCAAAATAAAATACTCATTTTTGCATAAAAAGGTTCCCAGTTATTTTGCAGAATAAATTTTGTTGACTCTTTACACCAAAATTCAGTGAAGGTATTCTAGAAGTTTTAAAGTTTACATCTTCATATGAACTATTTGTATATCATATTCATATAAACTGCGTTTGAAATAAAGAAAACCCCACTCTTGACAATGCATTCCCTTTGGAAGAAACTGGCTTTCAAATTGGCCAGGCACAGATAATGAACAATAAAAAGCTGCTGTGTAAGTGAATACAGCCTAAATTGTTTTCAAAAGCAGGAAATGATAGAAAGTTCAGTCATGCCAAAGTGAAACCTATTCTAGTGCCAATTTATTTTTAACTGAAATCATACTTTTTAAAAGGACATGGTAAGTAATAGGGAACATGCTTAATATTTATTCCATATTTAATGTGGAAGTTTAATTGCATTCAATCAGAAATTACTCAGAGTCTAATTTCTGTGTAGCTATGACATCATTTCAGTCTAAGAATATTGTGTATTAAATGGACAATTTTGAAATTATTTCATCAGAGTCCTATTATGGTTGAGAAATGCATATGGTCGTCGTAGGTGGAACAAATAATTCTTTTGCTTTATGAGCTACCTTTATATTCCCCTCACAGCCCAATCTCGTTCCAGATTTTATAGGGGTTATAAATGTAAATCAGGATGAATTGCCACGCTTTGTACTAACTTTTGGTGCTCTGAAAGAGCTAGTTCAAAGAACTAGAGAAATTAGTTAATTTCCAGGACGAACTTAGGCCAGAGGTTTGAATTAGTAGCTCTTTTGAATCAGAAATAGGTGAGTCAGCTCATGGCTTTGGGGTCAGCAATTAGATCAACAAAAAATTTCCTTTCTACATTTTCTTTCATGCTGCACTAAAAATGTTTGTGAGAAAAAGTCTATTTGGATTTTCTCCTGGCCTCCAATAAAAATATTAACTTAGCCACTGTTAAGATATATTATCTGCTGCCCTTTCTTAGATATTACAAAAGAAACTGATGAAAACACTGGCTTTTTTGGTCCATTTTCATGTTCTAAAATTCATAAACGGGGATCCCTGGGTGGCGCAGCGGTTTGGTGCCTGCCTTTGGCCCAGGGCGCGATCCTGGAGACCCGGGATCGAATCCCACGTCAGGCTCCCAGTGCATGGAGCCTGCTTCTCCCTCTGCCTGTGTCTCTGCCTCTCTCTCTCTCTCTCTCTCTCTGTGACTATCATAAATAAATAAAAAAAAATTAAAAAAAATAAAAAATAAAAAAAAAATAAAATTCATAAACGTAGGGGTGTCTGGCTGGCTCAGTCGCTGGAATGTGCAACTCTTGCTCTCAGGGTTGTAAGTTCGAGCCCCATGTTTGGATGTAGAGATTCCTTAAAAGCTTTTAAAAAAATTCATAAATGTATTCTGTAAAACCAAGAAAGGTCTTAATACTGTAACTTCCAAAAACATCTTTCAAGAAGTTGAATTTTCAAAGGCATCACTATATAACTTACATTTTATTTGTGTGTGTGTGACACACATAATACAGTTGAAGCAAAATACTAAATATTATTCATTGTATTTGTATTGTGATTGGATGGTTAGTATTTGTTAGTAAAGTTCTAAGAACGTATTTCAAGCATAAATATATCCTATTTAGTGAAACATAAATGCACAGTTTTGAGATTCTACCCCCTACACATACATACTGATTTCTAATTAATTGCATTCTTGAGAATTACTTTTTGTAACAGACACAACTTAGTGAATATTTACTTTGAAACTTTATTAAAGTAATGGTAAACAAAAGAAGCCAAAAACAAACAAGCAAATATATACAAGTTGTATTAAAACTAAATGTTTAACTGTCCATTAGAAAAAATATACATCAGAGGAATCACAAAAATCCCTGTAATTAAGGAAACTTTGTATAAACTCTACATGCAAAAAAATAAGTATCTCCAGTTTTCCCATTAGAGTCAAAATTGCAAATTTTAATTTTATATTTTCTTGAATACTTCAAGATAGTAGTTAACAGGAAGATCATCTATTTTAAGTCTAAAAAATTTTTACTCGTAACTTTTAAGCTCTAAAATTATATAAAATTAATCCAAGTCATATAGCAAAGAATTATGAAAACTGAATGCACATTGAGTCACATGATCTTTAATAAACTGCACACTACCATCCTGTGTATTGGTTTCTCTTATGTTACTGAGACCAGGTAAATTGTGCACTGTAGTTTTGTTTAGTAATGAAGATTGGTCATCTCCATTTAATTCCTTCTCTTCTGTTATTACTGGTTCTTTTAAATCATCTTTGTCCTCATTTGGGTAAACAAGACTTTTTTCTTTTATAAATTCAGGTTCCATTTTTGACTCAGGTTGCTGAGACTTTCCAAATACCATGTGAGAAACATCAAGAGATCCTTTTTGCAAGCATACAACCGAACCACAACTGTCTGTTTCTAGTACTTTATCTGCTATAGATGAATCAGAATCAGTTGTTGAGGTGGCAGGATGTTCTCTATTTTCAGTTAGATGACTTCCTTCATTGACTTTTTCATCCTTTTCATGAAGCTGCTCAGAGTTACTACATTCTTGCAACTATGTCAAGAGAAACAACAAATTAAGAATCTTTGAAAAATTAGGAAATTAAATTGTAGTACTCCCTCGAAATGGTTTTTTTTTTTTTTTTTTTTTTTTTTTTTTTTTTTTAAGTTGTGAGGTGCTTGAGTGGCTCAGTGGGTTAAGCATCTGCCTTCGGCTCAGGTCATGATCCCAGGGTCCTGGGATTGAGCCCCATGTTGGGCTCCTTCCCCAGTGAGGAGCTTGTGTCTCCCTCTCCTTCTGCCCTACCCCCGGCTCGTATATGCTCGCTCTCGCTCTCTGTCTCTCGTAAATAAATAAATAAGTAAACTCTTTAAGAAAAATAAGTTGTTAGGGAACAATGCTTGCAGATCTGCAGATAGGCTTCCAGGCTTCCCCCTCAAAGTCCTCTTCCAGATGCTGCCAGTTATTTTTTTAACAATACAGACAGTGCAAACCTGGCACTAATTCTTGATTAATTCCTTTCAATGACTTCTTATCTCCTTCAGAATAAAATAATCCTGGCCTATAAACCCTTTAGTATTCATTCTTATAAAGACATTCTTGAATTTCTTAAATTTTCTTAAATTTCTGTAATTCTCCAGAGCCACTCTCCTCCCCAATTCATATATATAAGTCAATTGTGCTAGTTAGTAAATAATTTCTGTGTCCAATACTGAAGACTAAAAATAACCAAACTTAAGGTTCAACTAGAAAGAATGAGCAAACTGAATCACATAGCTCCTTCCCATGGTTTGAGAGTCAAAAAGACTTGTCCCTAGAGTAGGACTCCAACTTCCCAAATGTTAGTTTCCCTGTTCCTCAGTGGAAAGTTATTTCCGGATTTAATGAGATATTTGTGAAAATGAAGCACAAAATTTTGGCACATAATAAAATACATGCAAAAAAGGTCTTTACTCCTCTTGTCTTCCCAGCCATTCTGTACATTTTTTTCATTTTTAATATGTTTTAAAAAGATTTTATTTACTTATTCATGAGAGACACACAGAGAGAGTCAGAGACATAGGCAGAGGGAGAACCAGTCTCCCCGCAGGGAGTCTGATATGGGACTTGGGACTTGATCCCGGGAATCCCAGGATCACGCCCTGAGGCAAAGACAGACGCTCAACCACTGAGCCACCCAGGTGTCCCCATTCTGAACATTTAATTTCACTGAGCCACCCAGGTGTCCCCATTCTGAACATTTAATTTAAAGTTATGATATCAAGAAATCAAACATTTTCTGTCAGGCTTTAACCTTGTCCTAAATCACTACAAAGGCCACCAAATCCTTACCTTAGCATGAATATGAATCTTACTTTCAGTAACCTCAAGAACTTCAATTAATGGTGGGGTTAAAGTCATTGGCTGATCAAGTGGAGGGCTCGGGACCTTTTCAAGAACCTCATCGACATTTTCTTCATTGACAAATAGCCTTTCCTAAAATAAAAAGAGACAAAATATTCTGCTTTATGGTCATTCTTGACACAGTTGATCTAAAAACAGCTCATACAAGTTCATACTTCAGGATTATACTTTGAAAATATTTAATGTTAATCTGATGCTGTCTTGGCAGAAGAAAACTGCACTGTACAGAGCAGTAAGAATAGCAATAGTATATACATATATAAGAGCCTAAAAGAAAAAAGTCTTAGTTCCTTCTGTTAAGTCTTTGTTAACAATCTGAGATAATCGTACTTACAAATGGTATTTTCCTCTCCTTTTTTTCTCTTAATATTTTATTAGAAGAATAACATCACCTCTAGAGCTATTAATACAGTTGCAGATATAAAATGTAATTTAATTTTAGAATACTTCCTAATGAGATAGCTAATAAATATATACGACAGAATTCATTCAAATCTTGTGACCAGTTTGCCTTTTAGTTCTTAGCCAGTCAAGAGCCAAATATACTATTTGAGAGATGTATATTCTATTTTTACACATTGAGATAATCCATTGTGACACTAGCATATAGCTATTTATAAGAATGAGGCAGATTTCAAGAGGATGACGGAAAGATTTCCAAACTATAATTAGGAAATGCATAAATCACTTTCGCCAGATTCCCAAACACAAACCAACTTGTGCATATTCATGTCAAGTATATATATGTATATAGTTAGGATGTTGAAGGGATAACTATATTTAAAATTCATAAAATCAGTTTAATATTGCCCAAAATAAAAGTACTTCCATAAAAATAAATTACCAAATAGTTCATCATTTAGTCCAAATAGGAGGGCAAAATCAGAAAGAGACAAGTTTAAGATTCTCTTACATTAAACAGTATTTAAACTTAAGAACACCTACTGTGAAAACTGGGTACAGAAAAATCTTACATTTGGAGTAATTTCCTCGCTATTACTTTAAAGTCCAGAACAACTGTATTAGAGAAATATCCCCCAATTAAATCATTTCTAAGGTTCCTGCCTCTAGAAAAGACACATTAATTGCACAAAAATAACCAAATACTTTGGTTTTTAGTTAGCCCAAGGAAAAATGATGTTTATAATGGAAATGGTTATGATTAAAACAAAGTATTTGCATAAAGTTGCCTATCCTGATGACTGATTTTACTCTTAAAAGATTCTGAATTTAGTGGTCCTAAAGCTCTAGGAAAATTTCCAGTGAATATTTAGGACTTTATAAATCTATTTTTTGTTGTTGTTGTTGTTGTTTTATAAATCTATTTTGTACTTGTTTATGTGTAAAGTAACAATTCTGACCTTGACAGTCACAAATCAGTCTCTTTAAAATTATTTTCATATAATGCATATAATCATTATATATGTCTATCCACCCATTACTCTTGTGATTCTTTTTTAAATTTTACTTTAATATTTAGATCCTACCATGAAATATAAAGACAAATAACTGATCAGCCTTACCAAATGTGATGATTAATGAAGTAATTATAAACCTATTTCAGGTATCAAAGATAGAAAACACATTTGCCCTAATCCCATTTTGGTCTAGTTTCTTTGGTAAAATAAGGTTAGTCTTCTAGAAAATCAAGTAAAATAACAGCCTTTAGGTATTCTTTCAACTGCTTATCCATAAAACTTTCTTCCCAGTTTTTAAGTTATTTTTACATTTATTAAAACAATTACAGGGGCAGTCCAAGGAACATGCAATTCGATCTCCCATAGTGAGTTTGAATCCCATGACCGGGAGAAGGGTAGAGATTACTCAAACTTTAGAAATAAATAGATAAATAAAACAATTCTAGAAAATGACTGCCCTTTCCTAAATTTCCCCCTTCTGATAATATAAACAGATAGTCAACTTCATATTCTCACAAAGTATCTTACTTCACCCTGGCTATTTATTTTACCATTTGGGAGAGTTTCAAATTAATCACTTCTCACAGAATATACCCCTCATAAAGTGGAAATTATCAAGTATCTAAGAAAATCACAGGAAGGAGTGAAAATTTCTTGCAAGTTAAAGCCCAAGGCTAAAAACTTAATTCTCAACATATATATATAATCTGTGCAACTAGTTTCATTTCTGGGAACTTAACCCTTGAATCTGTTAAAAGCTAAAAAAAAATTACATGTAACACTGATACATATCTCAATGAAAACCACCAATTGTTAATTTATGAGTTTTAAAAAGTTTCTTAGAACTTAAAATTCACAAAGTTTAAAAAAAAAAATATCAAGAGGGGTGCCTGAGTGGCTCAGCAGGTTGAGGCACTGACTCCTGATTTCTGCTCATGTCCAGGTGTCTAGTCCTGGGGTGAGCTCAGCTTAGGCTCCTGCTCAGCAGGGGACGTCTGCTTCTCTCTCTCTCTCTCCCTCTGCCCCCCTCCCTTTAAAAAATTTTTTTTAAAGATTTTATTTATTTATTCATGAGAAACACACAGAAAGAGAGAGAGGGAGAGAGAGAGGCAGAGACACAGGCAGAGGGAGAAGCAGGCTCCATGCAGGGAGCCCGATGTGGGACTCGATCCCGGGACTGGATCCCGGGACTCCAGGATCACGCCCTGCTCCGAAGGCTGGCGTTAAACCGCTAAGCCACCCAGGGATCCCCTGCACCACCACCCCCTTTGCATCAATCAATCAATCAATCAATTCTTTTGAAAAAGTCAATAGTACTGGAGTACTGAATCTGAAATTCAAGAACTCCAATAACCTAAAAAGTATAGTAGTAACTAAAATAGAACACACTATTCATGCAAATTATGTCCTAAGTAAACTAGGTAATGCTCAGCCCTAAGTTCTGGAGTACCTGCCCACAGAGATGTAGCTGATCTTGATGTTAACGTTAACAAGTATGTATACAGTTGATCTTTCAACAACAGAGGGTTTAGGGGAACCGACCCCCACAGTTGAAAAATCCACTTACTGCTTCTGACTCCTCCAAAGCTTAACGACTAATAGCCTACTGTTGACTGGATGCCTTACCTATAACAGTCCATTAACGCATATTTTGTATGTTGTATTATATACTGTATTCTTATGTGTAGAGAAAAAAATGCTTCTAAGAAAATCATGAGAAAATACATTTATAGTATTGTCCTGTATTTATCAAAAAGTTCTGCTTATTTAGTGGATCCAGGCAGTTCCAACCTGTGTTGTTCCAGGGTCGATTGTAAGAGCAAATTTTAAAAGGGGGGTGGAGTCTTTAAACATAGTTTAAAGAGTCTAGAAAGAACTGTTACCTCCAAAGAATCCTTGTTTAAACCATAATACCACTCTCTCCAAGGTCCATGGCACTCTGGAGATTTGGCCAGTTCTATCACCGCGTTGTTTGGAGAAATACTAGCCACAGGTTCTCTGGGACTCAATTTATTCTCCGGAGCGAATTGCAAAAAGAAGGAATAATAAACTAAGTCTTGGGTGGAGAAGCACAATTTGTACCGGCAGGGGCTCACATCCCCTTGAAGACTTTGCGGCTGGATCCGAGGCACTTGAATTAGCAGGGTCAGGAATTCTTCATCCTGATTACACTGCAAAGGAGGACACAGAGGTTCCCTGCCGCGGGTCCCAGGACCACCCATGGCTCGATCCGAGGGCTCCCGGGCCGCGTCCTCCCCGATCGCGCGCGTTTGGGCCCTGAGAGCTCCACGCGCGCTGCCCCTTCCTGCAGAAGACCCCCTGTCCCGCTTCCCAGACGCAGTCCGAGGGGAGCCTCCTCCACCGTCCCCGGGGGAGTCTCCTGCTACGGAAGGCGGCTCCTCCTCGAGGCCCGCTGTCCGCCCCGCTCGCTCGTCCAAGTCCCGCTCCTCGGGCTCGGAGACGGGCCCCTCCGCAGCGGCGGCCGGCGGGCCGGTCCCGGCGTCCGCGGCCCCCGGAGGCCGGCAGTGGCGGCCACAGCTGCCGGCACCAGCCCCCGCCGGGCCCACCGCCCCCTCGCGAGCGGAAGCGCGCGCCGCGCCGTCAGTTCCGGCCGCGCAGACGGCCTCTTCCGGCGCTGCGGCTGGCTCCGGGCGCGCGGCGGCGGGGAGCGCCACGGGGAGCGTGACCACCAGCTGTCGCCGGGCCTTGTTGAACTGCGCCCTGCCGCGGCTGTCGTCCACCGGGTACGGGAGCGACAGCCGCAGCCGGTAGTCCGGTTTCCTGGAGTCGAGGCACAGCCGCTTTCCCGTCACCTCGAGCGCCGCCTGCTCGGCCGAGCGCAACAGCGGCAGCTCGATGGTGACCACCAGCTCCCGGGGCACCGGGCTGGGGGCCGAGTCCCGGCAGCAGCGGTAATCCTGGAGGTCCACGTGGTGGCGCTGCACCACGCTGTAGCGAGGCTCCGTGGGGGCGGGGTGCAGGACCGCCCCCGGCGGGGAGGGCGCCCGGGGCCGGGGGACCTCTGAGCTCCCGGCCGCCGCCGGGCTCCGGTAGGGGTAGGGGAAATCGGGGAGAGGGCTCTCCGGCTCCCCCTCGGGCCGGGCCGGGACGCCCCCGGGGAGGGGCGTGCGCAGCACGGCGGCCTCCGGAGCCCCCTTGTACTTGATCTTGAGGGTCTTGGCATTCCTGCGGTCCAGCTTCACCCCGAACTGCTTCTCGACGGCGTCCAGGGCCGTGGCGTCCAGCATCTGGCGGAAGCGCTCGTGGCGCCGGGCCAGCGCGAGCGCATTGGGGTGGAAGACAACGTCGTAGACCATGTAGCGGGTGCCTCGGCCCCCCGCGTACTCGCGGCCGGGGGCCAGGCTGTAGGGCAGGGACCACTGGCTGCCGGCCGCCGCGCCGCTGGGGCCCGGCCGGCCGCTGGGCGCGCCCACCAGCGCGTTGCTACACACGTTCACGAAGCAGCGCCTGGCGCCGTCGAGGCTAGTGCGCAGGACGTGACCCGGCTGCGGGTGCACGAACCGAACGTCCACTCCGCGTTCACGCTCCAGCGCGGTGATCTCCGCCTCGTAGCGCCGCCGGTTCTCCGGGTCCGTGAGCTCCTCGGCGTACTCGGTGAACATTCGCCGGAACTCCGGGTCCTGGAAGGCCGAGGTGAGCCGCTGGACCTCCTCTCCGCTCAGGTCCAAGTCCTCCAGCGGCGACGAGGCTGCCGCCTTGGCCATGCCGCGCCCGGGCCGGGGGGAGAGCGACCCGAGGCCAGCTGGATGGGACGCGTCGTGGAGGCGCTGCTGTGCGGAGAGTGGGGAGGCCGAGTTCCGTAACCGCCGGCGAGAGCAGCGAGCTTAGGGCAGCGCGTGGGCGTTGCCATAGTGACACCGCCAGCGGCCGGGAGGAGGGGCGGGAATTGGAGAGGGACGGTGAAGTGCCACAATAGCCTCGAGTTTCCTCAGATCAACCAACTACTCTACTCTCTGCGTTTTTAGACACCTGTGCCACGGGGCAATTACTTTTGCAGAATCACTGTCGTAATAACTGTAATTTCCAGCATTTATGAACGTTACTCACCATCTGTAACGCAAGTTTAAGCTTGCCTACGCTTTTCACTTTACCAAACCAACATTTCAGTTTTCTGGCCATTTCACCAATTTGCCCTATAACAACTCACATTTGGGGCAAGGGATATGGGCAGGCTATTCATAAGTAACCAATGATTAATAAACATACAAGGCTTTTTTTTTAAGTTTATTCTTTTTAGTAATCTCCACATCAAACCTGGGGCTGGAACACAGGACCCTGAGATCGAGAGTTGCGTGTCTCTCTGACTGAGCCAACCAGGCACCCCGAGACTTTAATAATAAAAAAGCAAATGTAAGATCCGACATATTACCTATCTGAATGGTAAAGGCTGTTTTTACAATTACTGTATTTCCTTGGTGGTAGTACATCCTTCCTAGAGAATAGTTGGCTATTCTTTAGAAGGTACATGCTTCTTTCATCTAGCAATTTCAAGTCTAAGACTGTGCTCAAGGCAACATTTCCCATGATTCTAAAGGCTTGGGAAAAATCCAAGAATTCAGTAATGCGACTGGGTGAGCAGATTTTGATACAGCCCCACAGTGGGATTTTATTCAGAAGTGATGTTCTAGAATAATATTTATTGACTAAGGTAGTTATTAATTGGTAGTTGTTAAATACAGTGATTGTTTTTCTGTTCTCACTTTGTTGAAACTTTCATCAGCATTGCACACCGCTGATGTTGGCATTACCTCAGTGACAAGACACTTTCCAGGTTTCTCTCCTACTTCTTCAGACACTAGACACTATATAGTCTGTTTTGCAGGTGTCTGCCTCTGTTCCACTTCTAATAGGAACTGCCTCAAGGCTGGGACCCTATCTCTTCTCCATGTACAGTCTCTCCTTCACAAATATATTTATACTCACAAATACCAGACCTATATATCAAGTTCTAAATTCCAGGCTGGTATCTCCAGTTGCCCATTTGAGGTCTCCATTTCAATGATTGAATGTTTATGTCCTTCAGGTTTGAAGTGACCAAAACTCTAACTCCTTTCCCAACCTCTGCCCTCCTCTTATGATTTCTTGGCTGATTCAAAACAGTTGACTGCCCCCTCTTTGAAACATACTTTATTCTCGGTTTAAAGAACTCCATCCATGCTCTCCCATTTTCCTCCTTTGCTTGTTCCTCTCCTGCCAGTTCTCTAAATGTAGGAGTCACCAAAAGTTTGTTCATCAGCCCTCCTAATTGTATTTCTTCCCAGATGATCCTATTCAGGCTCACAGCTTGAAATGCCATCTAAGTTCAGATTCATTCTTCCATCAGATACTGCACATTTGCTGCATCTACTACCTATATATTATTATATTATAATTATATATTTATATATATTATATATTATATATATTATATACTTACCTATAGGTAAGCCACTATTCTAGGCACTGGAACAAAACAAAATCATTGTGTTCCAAGGATGTAGAGCAGCTGGCACTCTCGAATGCTGGAAGTTGTCTATTGGATGGATCACTTTAGAAAACTTCTGTTGACTTTAGTGTGTATCTCATAACTAAGAAATTCTACTCCTAGATATATAGCCAGTAGAAACATATACCCCAGGCATCTGGATGGCTCAGTGGTTGAGTGCCTGCCTTTGGCTCAGGTCATCCCGGGGTCCTGGGATAGAGTCCTACATCAGGCTCCCTTCAGCGAGCCTGCTTCTGCCTTTGCCTGTGTCTCTGCCTTTCTCTAGGTCTCTCATGAATAAATAAACAAAATATTTTTTTAATAAAACCAAAACACATATCCTTGTCAAAAGACATATGCTAGCATTTGCATATTTACAGTAGCACTATTTGTAATAAACTGTAGAAACTACCCACATTTTCATCAACAGGATGGACAAATAAAATGTATACACCCACAAAATGGACATGAATGAAGTGTGGACAAATGTTACTAACAAGGTTGTATGAAAGAAACCAGATGCAAAATAATACACCTGTATTGTTCCATTATACAATACACAAAGTTTGTCAAAGTAAATCTGCTAGAAATCAGGCTAGTGATTATCCTTTTGAGGGGGAGTGGGCTATTGTGATTGGAGGGCAGCAGGAGCAAGCTTCTGGGGTGAGGGTAATATTCTGATTCTTAATCTTGGTATTGCTAATAGGATGTGCAGTTTGTGAAAATTCATTGAGCTGTATACACTGATGATAGGGGACTTGTATGAATGTATTATAATTCAGTATAAAAGTCTTTGAATGTACTTGTAAAAAAAAATCCTTGCCTTCATGGATCTCATGTGGGATGAGCCTAGTGACTCCAAAATTTTATCTCTAGTCACACCTAACCTCTGAGCTCTAGGCTCATGCCATTGCCTACTAGATACCTCCACCTGGATGTGTGAGGTATCTAGTAGGCAAATTTCTTCAAATAGAATTTTTTTTAAGATTTTATTTTTAAGTAATCTCTACATCCAGGGTGGATCTCAGACTCTAAACCCAGAGATCAAGAGTTGCAGGCTCTATTGACTGAGCCAGCCAGGCACCCCTCCAAATAGAAATCTTGATTTTTTTTTTCCCCTTTCAAACCTGTTATTTCCCCAGCCTCAGTCAATACTACAGTCCACCCAGCTGCTTAAGCCTAAAACCTGTGTGTCATCCTTGATTCCTCTTTCCCCCACCCTGCACCAATATTCAGTTACCAAGGCTTGTGGTCTCTTGTTACACACCCCAAATACATCCCCAGCTTCCATTTCTGGTCTGGGCCCCTGATTTGTCTCCATCGCAGACTTCTGTAGTAGTTTCTTGATTGGTCTCTTCAGCTCTTCCCTTCTTACAAGCTCTTCTCCACACAGTAACCTTAGTGATCTTGAAAACCAGATCTGCTGAATGCCTTTCAGTAGCCCCACATCCCAATTTCTTAGTTGTGCCTATAAGGCCATCATTGATCCCTAGCCCTCTCCATACTCAACCCCTGGATCATTACATCTTGGCCTCCATGACAACTTCCATTACTCCTGGGGAGCCTGTGCACAGGCCCTTGAATCTCAAGAACTTAAATGTCACTTTAGTGGCTCTCTGTGACATCTCTTTCCCATTTCCAACTCCCCATCTAAATTTGCCCATTGTTTTTGTTTTCATCATGGTTCACATTTGCTGTTTGAAGGTACACAAATGACCTTGCCCTTCTTATTTACCACTGGATTCCTCCCTACCTGGAACATGTTAGGTCCTCATATATTTAATGAATGAATATAATACAGTAAATAAAATAAGTTCAGTATGTATAGTATGATCCCAAATTCTTTTTTTTTTTTAACCCAAGATACTTTTTTAGGAAAAAATGTATTTGTAGAGAAAAATCTGGAAGGATACATACCAAAATAGTAACATTATCTCTGGTGGTGGAACTGCAGGTCATTAAAACTTTTTATGATTACTTGTATCTCTTAATTTTTCTAAACTATGAACTTGTTTATTAATAAAAAATTTAAAAATAACCTGTCATTTAGGTCTCAAAGATTTATATCTGAAGTGGCTTTGAGGCATAAAGATGACTTCTAGGTCTTTAAAACATGTGACAGATGCATAGAATTGCATCCTTCTCTGTTAATCCTGATGGTCAGTGAACATAACCGGTGATTGGTTTCAGCATAAGTTACCTTTGTAACCTCAAAGTTTCATCCTAAAGGCATTTCCAAATATAAACACATCATAGTACACATATGACAACAGACTACACCTGGCTGTTTAGAAATGAGAATGACCTTCAGAGTTCCTGAACCCCGTGAAATTATGTGTGTCCGTGTGCTCCTATATGTGGATTTTTCTGATTAGAGGTCCCTCCCTTAAGCTTTCATTAGATCTTCTAAGAAAGGTTCATCCCCCATGACCCCCACTCCCCACCACCCCACTGCCAAATTTTACTTTTGTGACAGTCCCTTTCCCAAAAGAAGCTACTTGATAAAAGACAGTACAGCACTGTGGAAAAGCCCTGGTGCTCAAAACACATCTCTTGCCTAAAATATATCCAATGAGGAAAGGCTATCCTTATTAAAATATGAATGCCTTTTGGGTGAGAAGGATGTGAGTATTCAGGCCCATAGTTCTTTATCTTATTTTTCAACAAATACTGCAACTGGGATCTTTTTTTTAAAAAGCTTTTATTTATTTATTCATAAGAGACAGAGAGGCAGAGACACAGGCAGAGGGAGAAGCAGGCTCCACACAAGGAGCTCGATGTGGGACTTGATCCCGATCCTGGGATCACACCGAGGCGAAGGCAGACACTCAACTGCTGAGCCACCCAGGCATCCCCTCCCCCCCTTTCTAAAAGTATACTCTACCCCCAACATGGGGACTCCGACTCAGGACGCCTAGATCAAGACTCTCATGCTCTTCCAACTGAGCCAGCCAGGTACCCCACAACTGGGATCTTTTTAAATGCCAGCAAGAAGACTTCCCTTTGGGAAGTAGAGGTCCAAAGTGGATGGCCTAACAGCTACTGAAGTGAGACAGCTCTGATAGAACATGCCAACCTCTGACTGGCACAGAACGGAAACAACAGTATCCTGAAGTGATACTTAACACTGGAATTTTGTCTGCTATGACCTATTAATTTTAACCCACTGATGAGTTCAACCGTCAGTTTCAAACAGAGCTCTAGGGATCCCTAGGTGGCTCAGTGGTTTAGCACCTGCCTTTGGCCTGGAGCGTGGTCCTGGAGTCCCGGGATCGAGTCCCGCGTCGGGCTTCCTGCATGGAGCCTGCTTCTCCCTCTGCCTCTCTATTTCTCTCTCTATGAATAAGTATTTAAAAATAATAAATATAGATAGATAGATAGATAGATAGATAGATAGATAGATAGATAGATAGATAGATAGATAGATAGATGATAGATAGAACAGAGCTCTAGATAGATGATCTTGTATAGCTTCCGTAATGTGGTACAAGAATTACTGTTCAGTAAGGAAATGGAGAGGAGACCATATGATATGGAGCCAGCTTGGCTCTGACCTATAACAGCTGTGTGACCTTGGCAACTTATTTAACCTCCCTGTACCTGTTTTCTTCATGTACAAATTAAAGGTAATGGCGACCCAGTGGGGATTAAATTGCACAGTGAATAATCAACACAGCACAGTGCCTAGCATGGTAAACGTTAACAGTACATTAAAGCATTAGAGCAGGGCAGCCCAGGTGACACAGCGGTTTAGCGCCACCTGCAGCCCAGGGAGTGATCCTGGAGACCCAGGATGGAGTCCCACGTCAGGCTCCCTGCATGGTGTCTCTGCCTCTCTCTCTGTGTGTCTCTATGAATGAATGAATGAATGAATGAATGAATGAATGAATGAATGAATGAATAAATAAAGCATTAGAGCAGTGGTTTACAACCTCAGTCCAAACCTGACCCTCTGTTTTATTCAGAAGACGGGTCTAAAAATGAAGCCCCAAGTATCAAGAACAATAAAAGTGGAGCCTTACTGGTTGCATATCAAGGGTGGCCTACACAGAAAACACATGAATGTGCACAGGGTCAGTATAGAAACATTCTGAGGTTCCTGGGGTGGCTAAGTGGTTGAGCGTCTGCCTTTGGCTCAGGTCATGATCCTGGGGTCCCCAGACTGAGTCTCACATGGACTCCCTGCAGGGAGCCTGCTTCTCCCTCTGCCTAAGTCTCTGCCTCTCTCTCTGTGTCTCTCTCATGAATAAATTTAAATTAAAAAAAAAAACAAAGAATCGAAACATTCCGTTTTAATCTTATCTGTCTGCTCTGAGCATTCCCTACCATTAGAAGAGGACATAGAACATTACACAACAGATTTCGGTGAATGATTGGGACTCAACTCCTCTTACTTAATAGGTATATTTTATAGAACGAAAGATTGAGTTCCTGTGCTTATAAGGCAGAGAAATCAATTTTCGTGGGCACAGTCCAGACTGTAATCATGTCTTCATTAGTACAGATTGTGATTTAAATCATCACTAAATGAAAAGTTAGGATGCTTTACCTCAAATTCAGATTTCTCCAAAATGGTCACCTAGGCTGGGCTTCCCACATGACTGACTGCAACTGGCTGAAGCAGAACAGCAGGCCCGTGGGTACACCTGTGTTCCAGTCTGCCCTTTCGTGCACCTGTGGGTTCCAGTCTGCACTTCCTGTGGTTTCCCCATATGAGACCAAGTACTGGTTTTCTCACAGTAGAGAAATCTGACCCATGCCTGTCTCCTTGTGTGATCCACCTGGACCCTGTTGTAAGGTGCACCTTCATGACAGTGCCTCATACTCAGATTTCTGGCAGTGAGGTCAGCCATGCTACAGCTGATTAAGCACCAAGTCAAGGAACACACCACCTCCCTGATTTTCCCCAAAACAGAAGTGCAGGATACCCTCCCAGTGCTGCTCCTCTGCTGCCCCATCTTTCAGACTTCTGCTTTTCATTTCCGGACGATGCAGATTCCCACTCGGTTCTAGTTCCTGTCTTAGTCTAACACTTATTGCCTGGTCCTGGGAACTTACCTGCTTGTAGTTGACTGCCTTGCTTCATTTTCACTTCACCTTGCTAAGTCTTAAATGCACCCTGTCTTTCTAGCCACTAAATATAAAAAGATCTAAAAAAGCTCATCTTGAGAAACAAATCATTGAGGGGAACACTTTGTATCAATTTCCATTTATAACTTCCTACCCGTCATCTTTCATATTTAGCTGTGGTTCTCATAACTGGGCCAACAACCTTGAAATGTTTATTTCACTACCACTTTCTAGGCCCAGATTGTAAATTTTCCAAGCAACATAGCTTTTGAACTTATGCCTTGATTTCATCTTTAACTGTTTCTAGGCTATTCTTGAAATTAAAGCTCAGTCTTGCTCTTGCAACATCAGAACTAATGTTCTCCCCAAATTTTCCATCTTCAAACCACTTCTCAAATTACCACTTCACCCTTAACTACTAATTCACTTATCACTACATTCAGATTAAATTCCATTGAGAAATCTTCCCTTCAATATGTCATTTTTATTTCTTATCAGTCTCTCTTCCCCCAAAAAGCTAATTTCCTTTCAAAGACATGTCTTCCAATCCAGGCTCTTTGTAATAATAAGATTACTCCTACATTTGAAACATTCTTTGTACCCCTAACAACTTCTGTCTGTCATTCAGTTTCATTTCTAGGCTATTACTACAATGCTGTAAACTAAAAGACAAGTAAGGGGATGGTATTAAGTAATCATATCCAAATAGCAAAACATAGTGCTTCAAAATAAACTGTCTACTAAATGTAAAATCAATGGGGACTCTGTGTTCTTAAATCTCCAGTCCCAAAAGATAATTATGAAATGATTAGCTTAGTAATATCCTGACACAAAGGTTTTCACTATCACTAGAATAAATTCTGTGACTTGAAATTTAAACAGTTTGAAAATTGCTGAATTAGGATTCTTATGGTGATAAAAATCTAAGTCAGACTAAAATAAGGATTCAGAAAATCTTAAATACTTGTATTTTTCTTAAAATGAATATTAACATATGGCTAATCTAGAAATAATGAAACTTCAGTTTTTAAACATAAATGTATAATCAGAATTAGAAATTCATGCATACTTTCTATTAAGACAATGCAGAAAATATTTTTGCTGTAAAACTTTGTAGTGTACCATGTTTATTATAACTTAATACCAAAATTTCATAAAATACAGATTTAAGAGCATTCTAGAGTTTATCATACTTTTATTGGAACTTCTCAAAATCACATAAATATAAAATTAATTAGAAACTGATGAATTTTCTTTCTTCAGATACTCTAATAAGAATCTCAAAAACCTTGAAGTTTGCTGAAAATAGAAATTCATAAAATTAAATCTATTGGAAACCTAAGTTATTGTACATTTCTAAGTACTTAGTTTTAGTTAATTTTAAAAATAGGTCATTACGTGCATACTGTTCCAAATTCAAAAGGGGACAGGGTGAAAAATAAGCCAGTCTCACACTCTATTTCTGTTCCTGGAAGCTATTATTTTTCCTTATAAAGACAATCTAATCATCTCTAAGCATGTACTGGGGCGGGGGGCGCGGCGGTATATTATTTAAAAACACATACATAAGTGGTAGAATACAATGAACACTATTCTATATCTTTTTTCAATTAATAATAAATATATTTATAATTTTTAAAACTAATCCTTTCCTTTATGGCTTTGAAATTTAAATATACTCGAAAAGTTCTGAGTAAGTACACACATTTAAATGGGTACCCACTTATTTTTTTAAAAAGATTTATTTATTTTAGAGTTTGGGAAGACAGAGGGAGAGGGCAAGTCCCAAGAGACACCACCCAGAGCTCCCCCGCCCCCGTAGAGCTTAATCTCATAACCATGAGATCGTGACCTGAGCCCAAACCAAGAGTCAGATGCTCAGCCAACTGTGCAACCCAGGCACCCCTAAATAGGTACCCATTTAAACTGTTTATTTTGCTATTATACAAACTACAATAAAAATACCTGTACCTTTTATGCATAAGCCCAAGTTACTTGTAGGATAAATTCCTGTAAGTGGAATTGCTGGCATATCCAGTCTAGGTCTTAAGAAATCCTGTCAAGTTGTCCACCATAAAGGTTTTTACCACATTTTATTCTGACCAACTATGTGTGAAAATGGGTATTTCTCCACTACATCACCAATACTGTGTTTTAAAATAAACAACTCTATGAGAGTCCCTGCTGAAACAGGGCTAGGCTTATCCACTTTGACTATGTTTTTGTGATTAACACTACAATGTGATTTCACAAATAGTCTACCACAAGATTTCTTCTTTGAAGAAATTACACAGCAGTAGGACCAAACAATTCTAATAAATCTTGAAATTGTTTCCTATTCTCTCAAAAAGAAACTTACATCAATCTGTTTGATCAAGCACTAAAAGATTCCTTCATTTATCACTACTAAATTATAGTTTGGAAATCATGTGAAGGCTTTTCAGCATCTGAGTCTATACAAGATAAAGGAATTTATCTTTTAATTTCAGCTATTCTTGTAATTCCAGCTATTTCAACTCCATGAATGGTGAGCATCAACTCAGGTCAAGGGCTATACTAGAAGCTTTTAAGGAAGATGGGTACACACATGACTTCTAATATAATAATGTTGGGAACGATCATAAAGTTCTGTAAAAAGTGCTTAGAACACAAACAATTGTGTATAGGAATCAGGCAATATTACCCGAAATGTAACTGAAGTGTCTTGTGTATCATAATTAATAAATCAGTTAATATCCTATTGTGGTTTACTTATTTATATCCCAGCTCATTTTATTTTATTTTTATTTTTTAAAGATTTTGTTTTTTCATTTGACAGAGTAAGAGAACACAAGCAGGGGAAGCTGCAGAGGGAGTGGTAGAAGCAGGCTCCCTGCTGAGCAGGGAGCCCAATGCAGAGCTCAATCCCAAGACCCTGGGATCACGACCAGAGCTGAAGACAGACACTCAACCTACAGAGCCACCCAGGCACCCCGTATCCCAGCTCATTTTTTAAAAAGAATATAAAATGATTTGCAGAGACAGATGTAATAAAGATAAAAGCAAGGAAATTCAAGTAATGGGAAAATATAGTTCAGAAAATAAAGATGAAGCCAGGGATGTACCCAACATTTATGCTAGTAATTCCTCTGCAGCTATAGAGGTGGGAGGCACATTTAGTTGTGCTTCCTAGCAGCTAGAGCAAAGGGAGTTTATTAGAGGATTCACAGTCTCCCTGAAGATAAAGAGTTGCTTGGGATAGATACAGAATCCTCTTGTCCTGAGACCTGCTAAAAGTTCCCAGTATTGGTTTTCCTAGCAGAGTAAGTTTCATATCAAATTGCAGTTCAGTAAGTCATTCTAAAGGTGGTTAAAATATGTTCCAGGCAGACAGCCCTCAGTAATCCTGGGGTCACAAAATCAAACACCCTCAGGGGCATCCAGGTGACAACAGGGAGCTGTGAAACGAGATGAGTGCTTGCTCTTACCTAAGGGCATTCCAAATCAATTTTGGTTTTATAGGATTCAGTGTGGGCTAGGTATAGTCCAACACTTTTGGGGCTTATAGAAAGGACTAGAATATCCGCAACCTTAATGAGGTTCTGGTCTGGTTATATTTATTCCAAAAACAGTAAGTATAGAGTATAGTAAGAATCAAATATATGTCAAATGAGTGAATCCAAGATGAAAATTTACCGTATCATAAAGTAAATGGACTTAAAATACTCCATGAGTATTGAGCAGCAAGAACAATGTGTAATTGTTACTTCAAGAACTATCTAAGGGCGCCTGGGTGACTCAGGTGTGTTTTCGGCTCAGGTCATGATCTCAGGATTCTGGGATTGAGCTCCGAGTCCCGCTCCAGGCTCAGCCAGCAATCTGCCTGAGGGTTCTCCCTCTCCTTCCCTCTGCCCCTCCCACTGCATGCAGGTGTGCTTTCTCTCTTCTCTTTTAAATAAATCAAAGAAACTGTTTTTCATGGTTTCAGGGTTAGGAAGCAAATGTATTTTTCCTTCTCAATTTTATACTTTAAGCATTATTTGAAATTTTCGTCATGTACTTGCATTCATTTTTATTTGAATGAGTATGTTAATTACCAAAAAATAAAGACCACTGGGCTGTGTGTTCAAGATTAATTCTCTGACAAGAACCTGGAAGGCATTTATTTGGCCACTTGTTCTTATCTGAAGGTGGGAGCTTTTTCAAAATATAATTAAGAAATCATATGTTAGAATGCCTGAATCCAAGAGAAATAGTGTCAATAATGCATATTCCTGGGCCCTACAACTATCTAGAGAGTCATCTGATATGTCTGGAATGAGATCCTGGAATTTAATATTACCCCCACCCCAGGGGAGAGCACAAACACAGACCCTCACTACCATAAATTATGCAGCTAGATTTCCCACATTTGGGGGAATCGCAGGGATCAGCATGTATGGAGTGCAATGGATAAGCCTTGCTCTGGGAAAACCCACTTTCGTGACCATGGTATCTCCCCTGCCAGGGTAAGTGAGAAACTTAACATTTTTAACTAGCATCCTAGAGAATTCTGATGAGGATGGTCTATAGATCACCCTTTGAAAACCGCTAATCCCCAGGTAATTATTCTTTTTTCCCAAGATAACACCCCAACCCCCCCATCATCAGTACACTAACACCCTGCCCTGCCTGCACACACTTCTTTGCTACCAATTTAAGGCAGACTGCCTATATTTTGAGAATCAAATACATGGAAGGTGGGGCTGACCTCTCAGAATAACAATGTTATCAGGAGTCAGCCTATAAAAGAACTAGCCCACTTCCATGGCTGGTCTGAGGTAACCCTCAGAAAACAGTTCTTAATCTTTTTTATCACAAATGTGCCATCAAGTACATACAATTCTATATCCCACAGCATGACCAGAAGTTCAGCCTAAATCATTTCCAATGGACCACTACTGACATTTTTAAAAACCTCAACAAACCTACAGGGCACCTGATTTTCAGCCATACAACGCCAAAAGACAGCTCCTCCTTGCTGATTCCGGGGGTACACTTACCTATCTTCTACTGTCTTGTTGGACGGATAAAAAACTTTGAATGAAAATCCACTTCTTGGAAAAGAGCCCTTTGGGGAAAAAAATACCTGTAAGTGAATACTCAACTTTTATTTTTAAAATTCCTATTTTTAAGATCAAATTCCTTGGTCATGACTTAAAAATAAATGTATAAAGGTGTGACTATAATGAGATGGATTTTTTTTCCCTCATCTTTATAGAGAGAAAGTGTTACTATAAAGTGTCTCCACTTGAAGCAAAAGTCTTTCAAGTTGACTAGACAGTCACACTAACAGATCTAACTGGAAATGCTTAAGAGTAGCTCTACTCAGTGTATGAATAAACAGTACTGTGCTATGCTACATATGCACGTAAGACACTTGAACATCATGTTCAAGAAAGATTTCCTTCCCTTCTCTCCAGTGAAAAGCTATGTTGATGGCCCTCTGAGGTGCCCCCAAAGCAACTGAACAGTAGCCATGCAGTGGTCAGTCTACTACTAAACTCTAGGGCAGAGACGGTCTTTTCCTTTCAGTCTCTGTATCCCTGGCACTAATTCAATGTCTGGCCCATTGCAGGCATTCATTAGTGTAAGTAACAAGATGAGATGAAGAGGGGTGCCTGGGTGGCTCAGTCAGTTGGGCATCAGACTCTTGATTTTGGACTGGGCAGTGATCTCATGGGGGATTGGACCCTACATCAAGCTTCGTGCTAGTGGGGAATCTGCTTGAAGATTCTCTCCCTCTGCCTCTTCCCCTCATCATGTTCTCTCTCTTCCTCTCTTTCAAATAAATAAATCTTAAAAAAAAAAAAAAATGAAGGGATGAAACAATGTGAAAAGCAAGTTTTGGGCTTGCCCAAAAGGTATAAATAAAGTATAAAAAGATATGATGATGGTGTAGGAGGTGGTGCTTTACTAGCCCACAAAAAAGTAGAAAAATTGAGAAAGATGTTATCAAAAAAAGCATGAACTGTGAAACGCCCAAAGAGTTAAGTTTAAATAAAGAGGGATGCCTGGGTGACTCAGCAGTTGAGCGCCTGCCTTTGGCTCAGGGCGTGATCCTGGAGTCCCAAGATCGAGTCCCACATCCCTGCTTCTATCTCTGCCTATGTCTCTGCCTCTCTCTCTCTCATGAGTAAATAAATAAAATCTTTTCAAAAATTTTTAAATAAAGAAATGGCCTTATTGTGAAAGAATCTTGGAAAGTGAATAAAGATTCTAAAGAAATCAGGCCACACATTTCAAACCGTGAAACCAAATCCAATGACTGTGCTCATCCTTTGAGCAGTTCTCAACCACAGAAAATTTTGTCCCCCAGGGGACATTCAACAAATATCCTAAGACATTTTTGATTGTTACAACTGGGGGCTGCTACTGGAATCTAGTGGGTAGCCAAAGATGCTGCAAAACACCCTACAATGCACAGGATAGTGCACCATGACAAAAAATTATTTGGTTAAAAATGTCAGTAGTTCCACTGTTGAAAAACCCTGTCTTAGAGGAAGTTCAACAAAATAAATGAGTATCTGAGGAAAGCAGTAACCAGTAGTAAGTCATGATGTTTCTAGAAATGACCTACATGAAACAAAAACAGTATTAAGGTCTAAAATACACAAGAATCAAGGAAGCATAGATTAAAAATCACTAATGAAGATATTTTGTTTCACATCAACAGTGTTTATGCAGCAATATTTCCTAAACTTGAAAAGGCAATCATACTTCTGTTTAAGAAATTGTGTCCTGGTAAGAACTTCCACACTCATTGGGTTTAGATTTCTAGAACTTGTATGAATTTCCAAAACTCAAAATCATTCCACAAAGGACACTAATATATTTAAAGAGAATGAAATAGAAATTCTGAAAGCAATTCCCAGAAAGGAATCCCAAGGCAGTTACTTTAAAGGGGAAAATACTTATTTGGATTTATGAGCTTTGGTGTATTTTTTTTTTAAGTCACATTACTTTACAGTCACATGCTATCTTGAAAGTTGAAGAACTGTGTGTACCAAATTGATTCAATGTTTTATCAAATAGTATATTTTTATACAACAGTAATTTTACTAAATATATATATATATTAAATTTAAAGAAATAACACTCTAATCTTGACAAACTATGACTATATAATATATAAACTATATTCTTACAGGGTTTATGCAGAGGCATTCTGTATTGGTCAGAGTGAAAGGATCATATTTGTCTGCGATGACAAGGAGATCAGGTACCGGGTACACTCTCAAAGCATAGTCATACGCCCAGTACACTGGGCTGACATAAAGGGGTAGAGGAGTCAGGTGTCCTTGGGATAAGATAGTCTTTACAAACTACAAAAGAATGATAGAAAACAACCTTCAGTTTATTTGTAAAAATTAAAATTGCTAACAAATAATTTAAATGAAATATCAAGTGCCAAAAGGATTCAGAAAATTTAAGAAACAGTTAGGAGGACTTTGAATCACAGAGCTTTGGGAAACATTGATATGAAATGAAATAAGGGGCACCTGGATGGCTCAGTTGGTTAAGTGTCTGCCTTCGGCTCAGGACATGATCTCAGGGTCTTGGGATCAAGCCCCTCATCAGGCTCCCTGTCTGCTGCTGCTTCTCCCTCTGCCCTCCCCACTGCTCACTCTCTTTCTCTCAAATAAATAAATACAATCTATTAAAAAAAAAAAGCAATAAAATGAACCATCCTGTACTTTAAGGAAAATCTGTAAGTTTTCATTTAGTATCATATATCATAAAGCTACTCCCCTAAATGGTCATATTGGAACAACTGTACTTACAGCTGTATAATAAACTCAGTTACTAATTCTGTTCACCCAAAAATAATTCCATAGTTTGAGTAATGCCAAAAATAGATATGTAGCCTACATAAACTTTAAATATTAAAAATACTAAAAATGCTCTGTATGATCTACTTCCACATTTCCCAAGGTGGTACATGAAGGTACAATAAAGCCAGGGATTGATAGGTTTGTATCAGGGAACCTTGAAGCTACAAGATAAAGACTACACATCCTCCTAATGTGGACATATCATATAAAATAATGAATGTTAGGAACATAAATATTTTTTAAAATAAATATATATTTTGAAGTATAATATAAGATTTATGAGTTTTAAAAGCAAAATAGGAAGCTTCAAAGAAATTTCCTGTTCATTCTAGGTTTTCCCCTGCCCAATAGGGTATACTTCAGTGAGAAAGTTGAGAAACACTCAGTAACAAAAATTAACTTACTGACAAAAATATGTTCAAGTTATTTTGAACCATAAATAAATATAAAAGGGCAAATTATCAAGTGGCTTAAAACATTTTTATATAATGCAACACTTAAGATAGTTTAATGAGGAAGACTCTTAACTTACATGATTAGGAATATCCAAATTGCTACTAGGAAAGCGGACACAGTTTCTGCACATTTTATTCACTAAGTCCTCACGAAAGACAATAATTTCTTGTGTGCAATACTGAATTCTGAAATGAGAACAGTAGCTGAATTTGACTTCCTCAGGAAAAAAATAAGAGATAGTTTAAAAGGTTAAAATGTTTTACAATACAAAGCCATTCCCACTTCCCATTGTTTACCACAACAAAAATGCAGCTAGAGTCTATCTACTAATCCATTCATTTGACAGTAATTTATTAAGTTCCCCATATGTGTCTGGCACTGTTCTATGGATGAATGAACAAAACAAAAACACCCCACTCCTCATGCAGTTCATATTCTAAGGATAGGGTAGGGCAGTCAGAGAAAGTAAACAATAAACACAATAACTATGTAAGCAGACTGGAAGATGGTTAAGTGTATGGGGAAAAGAAAAACAGGCTATTAGGGATCATTTGTGAGAAGAGAAGGGCCAGAAGGCTAGAATATTAAATAGAGTAATCAAAACAGGTAGAGCTGATAATGGAGTCTGCCTTGAGCACAGACTTGAAGGGGGTTAAGAGAGTTAGTCAAGCAGATATGCAAAGGAAGAACACCATGCAGGCAGAGAGCACAGGTACTGCAGAGGCCCCAAGATGGAGCATGTCTGGCATGATTGAGGAACAGAAAAGAGACTGCAATGACTGGAATGAATGAGAAAGAAAGATCAGACAGGGAATAGAAGGCTAGATCATCCAGGGCCCTGACTACCACTGTAAGGCTGTGAGCTGTTACTGAATGGCACAAAGGGGATCTCATCTTTCAGAATCAGTAAGAAGGATGTGATATGCCTTTGTGTCAAAGGATTGCTCTGACACATCATTAAGACCAGACTACAGGGCAGCTCGGGTGGCTCAGCGGTTTAGCGCTGCCTTCAGCCCAAGGCCTGATCCTGGAGACCTAGGATCGAGTCCCACGTTGGGCTCCCTGTGTGGAGCCTGCTTCTCCCTTGCCTGTGTCTCTGCCTCTCTCTCTGTGTGTGTATCTCTCATGAATAAATAAATAAAATCTTAAAAAAAAAAAAAAAGACCAGACTACAGAAGGAGGGCAG